TCCTATAAAAATGCAAAACCACTCTTTGTTGGCAGACCCTCAGCAGGAGTTTGTCAACCCCTGAAGCAAACCATATTCTACTAGACTCTAAGCTCCTGAGTACAGGAACAACATCACACTTCTTATAGTCACATCCTAGAGCAGGTCATGGCATATGTTAGACAAATTATAGGTGCTTATTAAATGAGCAAAGGAGAATGTAAATGATAATTGGAAAAAATTTACTAAAAGTTGAGTTTGTACAATTTTTCCTTATCAGATTTTTTTATTAAAAATATCCTTACATAACAGCATAAGAAAACATAACTTGCTCTATTATAATGTTGATTGTATCTCCTATGTAAGCAACCTGTTAGCTAACTCTTACAAATCAGCAGAACACAGAGACATAGATTCCTTAAAATTCAAAAGCTTATAGCTCAATTCACAAATTTTTAAACACTAAAATCAAGCTAAATGATATCGCCACATAGCTTGAAAACAAGAAACACACTACAAAATGGTATCATAGATTTTTATATTCTTCTGAAGTGTTCCTTTCTTGTTCTGTCAACAAAAATTTCCATAGCTTTCAAATTTAGTTTTTAAATCCTTTCATATCTACTATAAACTAGGTCTAGAAACAGTGGGAAAACAAACTGAGCTGTAGTCGCAATAAACCTGAGATTTTCTTTCCACGAAAATTTTAAATATCTATAAACATCCCATTAATACTTTTTACAGTTCCATTAATTCTGTTGTCAATTATTTAACAAGTATATTTCACACCAATCTGCAGGCTAATTGTGATAACCATACAAAACCAAAGACCTTAAGCAATATATACATATTTCCTAAGTGTTAAGAGATACAGTTAACCAATAGGACTTATTCTTACTTACATTTCTTTTTCAAGCTGCTGCTGAATTAACTTTGCTGATTTTGCCATTGTAATGTCTGTAAAGAAATAAAGACACTGCTGTTGTTTAAAGCAGAAGGGGTCTTTTCCCAAGACTTCTTGCACATATGGAAAATTCCTATTTAAACCCGTAAGTTTCTTTGCCCCACCATTTAAAAAAAATTTTTATGTTACATTGGATTATAGTTGACTTACAATGTTGTGTTAGTTTCAGGTGTACAGCAAAGTGATCCAGTTATACATATACATATATCTTATTCTTTTTCAAATTCTTTTCCCATTTAGGTTATTACAGAATATTGAGCAGAGTTCCCTGTGCTATACAGTAGGTCCTTGTTGGTTATCTATTTTAAATATAGTAATAAGTATATGTCAATCCCAAACTCTCAATTTATCCCTCCCACCAACCCCACCATTTTTTTAAAGAGCTTTTTTTTTAAATTTATTTTTATTCTTATTTTATTTATTTTTGGCTGTGTTGGGTTTTTGTTGCTGCACACGGGCTTTCCCTAGCTGCGGCGAGTGGGGGCTACTCTTTGTTGCAGGGTGTGGGCTTCTAATTGCGGTGACTTCTCTTGTTGCAGAGCACGGGCTCTAGGCTGCGGGCTTCAGTAGTTGTGGCACAGAGGCTCAGTAGTTGTGGCTCGCAAGCTCTAGAGCCCAGGCTCAGTAGTTGTGGCACATGGGCTTTGTTGCTCTGTGGCATGTGGGATCTTCCTGAACCAGGAATCAAACCTCTGTCCCCTGCATTGGCAGGCAGATTCTTATCCACTGCGCCACCAGGGAAGCCCGCTTAAAGAGCTTTTTATCACTAGTAGTTCCATTATCAAAGTAAGCTTTATATTTGCACAAATATTTATATTACAATTATGCTTACAATTAAGCTGGTGACCCTAAAATTGAGAAGCTCTTTCACAGAAGTTTTCTACATCTTACAGACATTTGAAATCAACACATATATTGTATACATAAGTCCAGCCAATGTAACAAGAAGAGAAGCTACCAGCTTTGTGATTTTAACAAGACCCTTCACTCCAGTAGAAATACCCTGCCTGTCATATAGAACTAAACCAAGAACATTTCCAGCTGATGCTAAGATGGTATGTTACGGCATCAAGTGCACTTTAGTAATAAAAAAGCACTGGTTTGGCACCAGCAGAAGCCAAATAAATATAGAAGAAATAAAGAGGTCAGGTAATGACCCTAAGACTGATTCACGATAAGTCATTGTTAGGGTTACTACTAGCTCACCTTTGAGAAATGCACTGAGCTTTTCATAGAATGAGAATATTAGGTCTGAAAGAGGACTAAAGATCAACTAGTCTATCTTATTTTTAGTTTTTTAGAAAAGAGAGATTATTTCATTATTGAGGTAACATTGGTTTATAACATGTTTCATATGTACAACATTATGATTCAATTTCTGTATACACTACACCGTGCCTACTATCAAAAATTTAGTTTCCATCCATCACCACACAGTAGTAGGTGCAAATATCTTTCTGAGTTAGTGTCCCATTACCTTTGGATAAATACCCAGAAGTGGAATAGCTGGATCCCATGGTAGCTCTATTCTTAATTTTTTGAGGACTATCTATACTGTTTCCCACAGTGGCTGCATTTACATTCCCATCAACAGTGCACAAGGGTTCCATTTTCTCCATATCCTCACCCACACATGTTATTTCTTCTCTGTTTGACAACAGTCACTCTAACAGGTGTGAGGTAATGTCTAATTGTGGCTTTGATTTGCATTTCCCTAATAGTTAATGATGTTCATCTTCACTAGTGATGAACATCTTCATTACGTGCCCAATGACCATTTGTATGTCTTTTCTGGAAAAACATCTATTCAGGTTATCTGCCCATTTTTAAATCAGGTTTTTTGTTGTTGTTGAGTTGTATGGGTTCTTTATATATTTTGGATATTAACCCCTTATCAGATAATATGATTTGACAATATCTTCTCCCAGTCAGTAGGATGTCTTTTCATTTTGTTGATGGTTTCCTTTGCTGTGCAGAGCTTTTTAGTTTGATATAGTACCACCTGTTTATTTTTGTTTTTGTCTGCCTTGCCTGAGGAGACAGATCCAAAAACATATTGCTAAATCCCATGTCAAAGTCTGAACTCCCTGTTTTCTTCTAGGAGTTTTATGGTTTCAGGTCTTCTATTCAAGTCTTTAATACACTTTTCAGTTAATTTTTGTGTACAGTATAATAGTCTACTTTCATTCTTTTGCATGTGGCTGTACAGTTTTCCCAACACCATTTACTGAAGAGACTGTTCTTTCTCCATTCTATGTTCTTTGCGCCTTTGTTGTAAATTAATTGTCCATATGTTTATTTCTGGGCTCTCAATTCTGTTCCATTGACCTGTATGTCTGTTTTTCTGCCAAATACCATGCTGTTTTGATTACTATAGCTTTGTAGTAATATTTTGAAATCAGGGCATGTGATACCTCCAGCTTTGTTCCTTTTTCTCAGAATTGCTTCGGCTATTCATAGTTTTTCATGGTTCCATACAAATGTAAGGAATTTTTGTTCCATTTCTACAAAAAATGTCATTAGGATTTTGACAGGGATTGCTGCAATGAATCTGCAGATTGCTTTAAGTAAAATAGACATTTTAACAATGTTAATTCTTACAGTCTATGAGCATGAAATATCTTGCCATTTCTTTGTGTCTTCCATTTCTCTCAACAATGTTTTATAGTTTTTACTGTATTGTGGGATCTTAGTTCCCTGACCAGGGATTGAACCTGCACCCTCAGCAGTGAAAGTGTGGAGTCCTAACCACTGGACCACCAGGGAATTCCCATCCTTGGTTAAAATTTATTCCTGGGTATTTTATTGTTTTTGCTGCAATTTTAAATGGGACTGTTTTCTTAATTTCTCTTTCTGCTTGTTTGTTGTTGGTGTACAGAAACACAACAGAGTTTTGTATATTGCTTTTGCACCCTGCAACTTTACTGTATTCATTTATTATTTCTAATAGGTCTCTGGTGAAGTCTTTAGCTATGTTGAATGAGAGTGGCAAGAGTGGGCATCCTTGTCTTGTTCCTCATCTTAGAGGGATAGCTTTCAGTTTTTCACAGTTGAGTATGATGTCAGCTGTGGGTTTGACATGCATAGTCTTTATTATGTAGAGGTACATTCTTTCTATACCCATTTTATTGTCTTTATCATAAGTGGAATAGTTTAAGAAGAATGGGTATTAAATCTTCTTTGAACATTTGGTAGAATTTACCAGTGAAGCTGTCTGGTCCTGGACTTTTGGTTTTTTTGGAAGGCTTTTGATTACTGTTTTAATCTCCTTCCTAGTTAACAGTCTATTCAGATTTTCTATTTCTTCAAGATTCAGTCTTGGAAGGTTGTTTGTTAAGAATGTATTTATTTCTTCTAGGCTGTCCAATTTGTTGGTGTAGTTATTCACAGTATTCTCTTATAACCCTTTGTATTTCTGTGGGATCTGTTGTAATTTCTCCTCTTTCGTTTCTGATTTTATTTATGTGAGCCTCCTCTCTTTCTTAGTCTAGATAAAGGTTTGTCAATCTTGTTTATCTTTTCAAAGAACAAGCTCTTAGTTTCATTGATCTTTTCTACTATCTTCTTAGTCTCTATTTCATTTATTTCTGCTGGCTTTTAGTATTTCCTTCCTTCTACTGACTTTGGGCTTAGTTTGTTCTTTTACTAGTTCCTTTAGGTGTAAGGACTGTGGAGATTTTTCTTGTTTCTTGAGGTAGGCAAGTATTGCTATAAACTTGTACTGCTTTTTATGCATCCTATTGATCTGGTATGACATATTTTCATTTATCTTCAGGGATTTTTATTTCCTCCTTTCCTCCTCATTGACCTAATAGTTGTTCAGTAGCATGTTGTTTAGTCTCCACATATTTGTGACTTGTTCAGCTTTCCTCTTGTAGTTGATTTCTAGTTTCAAATCTTTGTGGTAGGAAAAGATGCTCGATATGATTTCAATCTTAAATTTATTGAAACTTGTTTTGTGTCCCAGCATATGGTCTATCCTTGAGAATGTTCCATGTGCACTTGAGAAGAATGTGTATTCTGCTGCTTTGGGATGGAATGTTTTATTTATATACATGTATATATGTATGTATGTATGTATGTATGTATGTGTGTGTGTGTATATATTCCACCTGATGTAATACTTCATTTAAGGCCAATGGTTCCTTATTAACATTCTGTCTAGATAATCAATTCATTGATGTAAGTGGGATGTTAAACTCCCCTACTATTATTGCTGTCAATTTCTTCATTTAGATCTGTTAATAATTCCTTTCATGTTTTAGTGCTCCTATGTTAGATGTTTATATATTCATAAATGTTACATCTTCTTGATGGACTGTCTCCTTTATCATTATATCAGTCCATCTTGTTCTCTTGTTTGGCTTGAAGTCTATTTGATCTGATCTGAGATGGCTAAACCTGCTTTCTTTTGGCTGCCATCTGCTTGGAGTATCATTTTCCATCCCTTCACTTTGAGCCTATGTTTGTCTTTAGAGCTGAGATGAGTCTCTGGGAGACAGGACATAGCTGGTCTTGTTTTTTAATACATCTAGCCACTGTGTCTTTTGATTGGTGAATTCAATCCACTTATATTTAGGGTGATTATTGATAAATGAGGACTAGTACTGCCATTTTATCTTTTGTTTTCTCTATATCTTTTGTTTTCTCTATATCTCCATTGTTTCTGCCTGACATCTTAGTTGGTGGTTTACTAGTTTCCTCCTAGTTTCATGTCTCTGCTCTAGAATTACTTTTGTGGTTACCGTCAGGTTTGTATAAGACATCTCATAGATAAAACAGTCCTTTTTCCGCTGATAGGATCTTATCTTCATTTGCCATTATATGGGTTCTGTTCTTTTCCTCTTCCCCTTTTACATTTTTGTCATCTCAAATTAACCCTTTTTATATTGTGAGTTCATTACCAAACTGCAATAGCTATAATTATTTTTACTGCTTTTTCCCCTTTAACCTTTATAATTAACAACCTATTCTGATGTAAAGTTGCAATTTTCTGATTCTATCTATTTATCACCTTACTCAAAGTTTTGCGTACTTTTGCCTCTTTGTTCCAGGTAGGAGAGCTCCTTCCAACATTTCTTGTAAGGCAGGTCTACTGGTAATGAACTCCCTCAGCTTTTGTCTGGGAAAGTCTTTATTTCTCCTTTGTATCTCAAGGATAAGTTTGTTGGAAGGATTCTTGGCAGAGGTTTTGTCTTATAATATTTTGAGCAGGCTATCCCATCCTCTCCTGGCCTATACAGTTTCTGCTGAGAAATCTGCTGATAGCTTAATAGGGGTTCCTTTGTAGGCTACTGTCTTTTTTCCTCCAGATGCCTTTAAAATTCTTTATCATTGAATTTTGACAATTTTAACATAATGCGTCCTGGAGAACACCTTTTAGCATTGAGATAATTAAATGTCCTCTTAGCTTTATGGACTTGTATATCCAGTTCCTTCCCTGGCTTTGTGAAATTCTCAGCTATTATTTCTTTAAATAAACTCTCTGCTCTCTTCTCCCTCTCTTCTTCCTCTGGGATAACCATTATCTTTATGAAGGATAATGAAATTGGATAGTTCTCATAAAATTTTATTTAAAAAAAAATCTTAGTTCTCTTGCCACTCCTACTTGAATCATTTCTAGATCTCTATATTCAACCTCACTAATTCTCTCTTCCATATGGTCTGCTCTATTTCCAGTGCTTTCTAATGCATTCTTCATCTCATTTATTGACATTTTCAGCTCCAGAACTTCTGTTTGGTTCTCTTTTAGACTTTTAATATCTTTGGTAAAGTATTTCTTCTGTTCATTAATTTTATTCCTGAGCTCACTGAACTGCCCTCCTGAGTTCTCTTGTAGCTTGTTTAGTTTCTTCGTAACAGCTATTTTGAATTCTCTATCAGTTAGATTACAATCTTCCATGACTTAAGTTTGGCTGCTGGAGAACTGTCATTTTCTTTTCGTTACACTGTGTACTGTGGTTTTACATGGTACTTGACAAACTGTTCCTCTGCCAGTGCATTTGAAGTAGCAAATACCTTTCTTATGTAGGTAAAGCTTTTTTTTTTCTCCTTGATTCTTACAGTTCAACAAGTTGGAAAATAGATGCCTTTCTTTTCTTTTTCTTGCTATAGCACAGGTTTTTGGCTTTTCTTACCTGAGCTGCCTCTGACTATATTTGAGAATTGGCACTTTCCACCCTCTACTACCTCTGCCAGATGTGTCACTGGTACCCTCACTGTCACTGCTTGAGCAGTGGAGGGTGTGGGGGGAAAAGTGAAGGAGACAGAGTCACGGACACCTTCGCCACATCTGGGGTTGTCGGGTTTGCATGCAGCACTGCCATGAGCCAGGGGATTGGGGTCACAGGCCCCACCACCACTGCTGCTGCTGCGGGGTTCCCTGTGGCCAAAGGAGCTACTGCAGCCAGGAGGCTGGAGCCATGTGTGCTGTCTTCCCTGTTGCTACAGGGTTATCTGGGGCTTCAGGCTCAGCCACTGTGGCCAGAGGCTAAGATTGTAGACATTCTTCCACTGTTCCCCCAGTTCTACCTCCTCCATGTGTTCCAGTCCACCCACCTTCAGAAGTAGACTTGTGGATCTCTCCAGCATTCTAGTGTGTTGGGCAGAGGAACCAGAGGAACCTTTGTTGAGTTTTGGATGTTTTACTAGTTGTAGAATGAAGGGGAGAGACAAAGAAGGTGTCTTACACCTCATGATGCTGACATCACTCCTAATCCGATTTTAAAGGTAATAAAACTGAAGCCTAGTTTTACTGGCTGAGACTAAAATGTTTTTCATTCTTACAAAGTTGCAAACTCTCCTTGATGAAGTGTGCTAGATGGCAAACTTGTTTAAAAGGAGAGACTCCATCCTGTCCTTCCTCAACTGTGTATCTGATATGACATATTGTCGATCTGATGAACTTAACTTGGTAAATTAAAATGATTTACGATTAAAAATAAAACACTGTATCAAAGAATAAATGACAATAATCACTCCTTTGTCGCTCCTTAGAACAGCCAGGTAAGGGAGACTATGAAAATGCTGGAGTATAAATACATTTTAAGATTTAAAATCCTTAATTTATAGTTCATTAGCAATCATCTCTCATCTTCAGTAATAACAATTGTAGATAACTGTATTAATTCTTAGTAGCAATCCCAGAAAAATCTCAACTATTATTACCAGAAAACATGATAGTACCTTGCTTATTGCAAGCGATTAAGAATGATGGTGTGTTCTTCAGACCAATACTGTCAAGGAGGACTTGATACAGAAACTCTGCCACATCTTTCACCTCTCGCTGGAAGGCTGCACTATCCACAACAAACACAATAGCCCTGGAGGGGGAAAAAAAGAAAAACTGCCATGTGAGCGTGCAACAGTGCAGCATTATATTGAAAAATGATACCCTTAATTTTGCCCAATTCAATCCTAATGATTAAAACAAAACAAACTCACATACAGGTGTCTGCACAAGTAATGATACAACACAAATACTTAACAAAGGACTACTTAGTGCTACTATGTATCAATGAACGTATCTAAAAAGACAAAAGAAAATGATGCCTCCCCTCAAGTCCAGCAAATTGTCATATACAAAACCATGTGATAAAACACTAGGACAGACCTTGTACCTGTACCTCCCCTCAAGTCCAGCAAATTGTCATATACAAAACCATGTGATAAAACACTAGGACAGACCTTGTACCTGCTATAATAGAAACAAAGAGGAAGATAATTTACATGGAACCAGGTCAGGAAGACTTAAAGGAGGATGTAATAGTTGAGTGAATTTTAGCCAGACAAAATACTACTGTGGCAAAGACTGTCTGGAAAGTAGTATGTGCAGGGCACAAAGTGGTGGAACAACATGCTTTGGAGAACTCAAGGTAAGCTAATACACAGGTAGGTGGGGAAATGAAGGAAAACCAGGTCAGATGGCAAAGGGGTGCAACACACTGACCTAAAGAGTTTATGCTTTTCTGTCTTACAAAGAATATTAGTGCCTAAATGACAAATACAACTAAGAGAATAATCAAACTAGAAGCAGAGTGACCAGGTAGGGCCCAACCTAAGGCAGCAACAGTGAGAATCCTCATGTGCCAGAAATAAAGAGATATCTAAGCTAAAGCAAAGCAGTCCAGGGAAACAGCAGATTTAGGCTTTAGGAACAAGGGTTTGAAAGCCCAGGAGATGTGCAACAGCCAACATGGAGTTGGAAAGCTGGAACTGAACACTCTGTGCAAAGCCTAGTACTTAAAAGCAGTCTAACAGACAGCAGTGTGGGAAAATAATCCAAGAAGAATTGAATCACCAGGCCTCCTGTGCCACACACAGAAACAGGGTATGAACTTACACTATCTCATGGTGTAAGATCCCCAAGCAGGAAGATATATAAAAATTGGGCCAGACTCAATGAACTCCTATGGCCCCCAAAAGAAGGAAATATGAACCCCTTCTGGAGAGAGGCTTTCATAACCTAAAGCAATTAAAAAAAACAAAACAAAACAGCAACCACAACATCAACAGCAAAATCTAACCCCCTTGAACAGGGTATCTGGATCAAAATTACAAAGCACAGTAAATAAACCATTATGAGGGAGAACCACAAAGGCAGATTAATCAGCACTCAAAACTAAAACTAATAAAGCAATCAGTAAAATATTTTAAATTATTTAAAAGAATACTAGACACCATAATAAAAGAATAAAGATAGTACTAAAAAAAAAGGCTGATTTTGAAAGATATGTTTTTACAAGTAAAGAACAAAATTAGTAATAACCCAATGGAAAAGTTAAGCAGAAAATACTACAGCTGAAAAGGATATAATAAACTACAAAATAAAGATGAAAATATCAACTATACGTAAGGTAAAAAGACTTGGAAGATATGACAGAGAAGAGACAAGAAGATAAGGTTCAATGATGTTAATAAGAGTTCCAAGAGGTGAAAGTGAGAATTTGGAAATAGAACTACCTAAAAAAAAATATTGTTGAGAATTTTCCAGAACTGAAGATACAAATCTTTCAACTGAAATAGCACACTTGAATCCCAACCATGATAAAGCTAAATCACCCCTAAACAGAAGGATAATCTACCCCTGAATACAGGATTAAAAAAACATAGATTCTGTATCATGAAATGACAATTAGATTGAGCACTGCTTTCTCATCTACAACAACAGATATCTGAAGTCAGGAGTAATGCCTTCAATGTGAAAACAGAAATAACTGCCACCCAGGATTTTATACTCGGCTAAAATAGTTATTCAAAAATGAAGGCCAATGAAAAAAGTTTCAAATGAACAAAAGATGAGAAACTTTTATCTCTTATTCACCATTTCTGGAAACATATCCAAAAGATATACGTGAAAGAAAATTAAATCAAAAGGAAAGAGTAAGAGGCAAGAAGCGATAGAGAAAAAAGAAATCCATAAACATCCTGGTAATTCTAGGTGATCACTGAATGATGGAGAAAAATATTAGTAACTGCTGGATGTTAAAAAAGAAGAAAGAGGGCTTTCCTGGTGGTGCAGTGGTTGAGAGTCCGCCTGCCGATGCAGGGGACACGGGTTCGTGCCCCGGTCTGGGAAGATCCCACATGCCGCGGAGCGGCTGGGCCTGTGAGCCATGGCCGCTGAGCCTGCGCGTCTGGAGCCTGTGCTCCGCAACGGGAGAGGCCACAGCAGTGAGAGGCCTGCGTACCACAAAAAAAAAAAAAAAAAAGAAGAAAGAGAAATAAAATGAAAGGAAGATGTGAGGAAGATCAAAGTAAGGTATTTTAAGTTCCAGTGAAAGAAAACCAATATTATTGATTTTAAACTTAAGTAATCAAAGTTTAAAAAAAAAAAGTAGAGGATAACAATGAAAAAAGAAAAAATAGCATAGTTTCAAACCAGCAGAGGGGGAAAAATGATATTAGGGAAACTTGATTAACCAAAAAAGGTAGGATTAAAAAACTAGAAGCCTCAGATCAATATACTATAAGTTGACCCTTGAACAATGTGGGCATTAGAGGCCTGACCCTCCAGTCAAAAATCTGCGTGTAACTTCATGGTCAGCCCTCTGTATCTGAGGTTTGGCATTGCCGGATTCGACCAACCAGATTGTGCAGTACATATTAAGTGAAAAAATTCCTCCTATAAGCGGACCCACACAGTTCAAATCCATGCTGTTCAAGGGTCCACTGTAGTAAATGTCTTTTGAATTTGCATTTATTGTGATTATGATTTGAGTTCATTTGTATCTTACATACTTTGAACGTTTTAGCTACCCAAAATACTTGGATCAAAGAGTAATTACACTGTGAACTGTAAAAAATTTATAATTGAAAATGGAAAAAAATTTTAATTAGAAATTAAAACCCAATTATAGCAAAATTTGCCAGTTCTAGATTTGTATCAATTGTTTGAGGAATTAAAAAAAAAAAAAATCACACAACTCCCAGTTTCCAGTCCAGCATGAAAGAAGCTGGAAGTCACCACTGCATTCTAACAAGTAAAAAGCTAACCAGACTGAAAACTCAACAGCACTTAGATTCATCAGAGAAGTGAGGTTATACAGTAAATCACTCCCTGCCAAATTGGAGAGAACAACACACATATACAGAAAAATACAACTTACTGAGGAATCAGTTGAGAATCAAGTATGAAGTTCACAGTCCAGAGACACAGGTTCACTAAGACTGAGACCTAATCACAGGACACTTCCCTTCCCCTCACACTTCACCACGTTACTAAGGGCAGTTCTTACCCAGTATATTGTGTCTGGCTATCAAGAAAAAATTACAAGACATACTAAAAAGTAAAAAAGAGTTTGAAGAGAAGGGGCAAGCAACAGAACTAGACTCAGATATGGAAGAGATGTTGGAATGATTAGACCAAGAATGTAAAACAACTGTGACTGTGGTGCTAAGGGCTCTAAAAGATAAAGTAGACAACATGCAAAAACAGATGGGCAATGTAAGGAGAGAGATGGAAGTTCTAAGAAATAACTAAAAAGAAAGCCACAGATCAAAAATAACCTAACAGAAATGGAGAAAGCCTGTGATGGAATTATTAGTAGACTAGACATGACTGAAGGAAAGAATCTCTGGCTTGAGATATCTCAACAGAAGCCTCCAAAACTGAAAAGCAAAGAGAACAAAGACTTAAAAAAACATAACAGAATATCTGAGAACTGCAGGACAACTACAAAAGGTGTAACATATATGTAATGGGAATTCCAGAAGGAGAGGAAAGAGAGGAAAGAACAGAAGAAATATTTAAACAACAATGACCGAAAATTTCCCCAAATTAATGTCAGACACCAAAGCACAGATTCACAGAAACCACAGGAAGCTCAGAAAACACCAAGCAGGATTAATGCTAAAAGAACTATACCTAGCCATTATCATTTTTAAACTACAGAAAATCAAAGATAAAGAAAAAATCCCACAATAAGCCAGAAGGAAAAAGACCTTACTTATAGAGGAGCAATGTAAGAATTATATCCAACTTCTCAGACATCATGCACGCAAGAAGAGAGTCAAGTGAAATATTTAAGGTGTTGAGAGAAGAATCCCCAAAACCTAGAATTCTATACCGTGTGAAGTTTACAGCATTGAATGCATTTATTAGAAAAGAAGAAAGACCCAAAATCAATCATCTAAGCTTCCACCTTAGGAAGCTAGAAAAATCAGAGTAATTTAAATCTACAGTACACGCAAGAAATAATGAAAGAGTAGAAATCAATGAAATAGAAAATAGGAAATCAATGGAGAACATCAACAAAACCAAAAACTGGTTCTATGAAAAGATCAATAAAATTTATAAACTTCTAGCTAGTCTAACTAAGAAAAAGAGAAGACACAAATTACAAATATCAGAAATGAAAGGGGATATCACTACAGATTCATGGGCATTAAAAGGACAATCAAGGGATACTATAAATAACTCTATGCCCCAAAATGTAATAACCTAGATGAAATGGTCCAACTCCTTGAAAGACGCAATCTGCCAAAACTAACATAAGAAACGGACAATCTGAATAGCCCTGTATCTATTAAAGAAACTGAATCAATAATTAAACCTTCCAAAACTGAGAGCACTAGGCACAGGTGGGATCACTGGTGAATTCTATCAAATGTTTAAGGACATTTATACAATGTTATATGCCACAAATATTCAATTTAAAAAAATTTAAGGAAGAAAATATACAAGTTCTCTATAATTTCTTTCAAAAAATAGAAACAGAGGGAATATTTTCTTACTCATTCTATGAGGCCAGCATTACTTTAAACACAAACCAAGACATTACAAGAAAACTACAGATAAATATCTCATGAACACAGATGTAAAAATCCTCATGAAAATATTGGCAAATCGAATCCAACAATGTATGAGAAGAATTATACACCATGATTGGTTCTGGACCCAATTCCAATGTGAGGGATGTGGGTTCCCCCACCACCAAGCAATGCTCCTGACACCAGATGGGTGCCCTACAATTCAACTCAATTCTGATGCTATCTACTTGGAGATAACATCAGATTTCACAGGTTAAAGGCTCAGTGCCACAAGACTGCCCTCCACTTCAGATGCCAATTACAAGCCCAGATTGTTACCTGTGCTTCTGACCAACAGGCTACAGACTCGAAGGTCTCACAACTCCTTCCTTCGGTTTGATTAATTTGGTAGCAGTGACCTCAGACACCAGTCAGAAGTCCAGGTTGTTAACTGTACTTCTGACTGACTGGCTATAAATCAGAGGTTCCCATGACCCCTCCTTCTTGGATTCAATTAATTTGTGAGAGCAGCTCAACTCAGGAAACTCATTTAACTCACTAAATTATCAGTTTATTGCAAAAGATATTAAAGGATATGAATCAACAGCCAGATGAAGGGATACATATGGTGAGATCCTGAACAAAGGAGCCTCTGTCCCCACGGAGTTTGGGCCCTGCAGGGTGGCATGTAGAAGCATTCTGGTTCTCCAACCTAGAAGCCCTATGAACCTCATCCTTTTGGGGTTTTATGGAGGCATAATTATATAGGCGTGATTGACTGAACAATTGACCGCTGGTGATTGATTCAACCTCCAGCCTCTCTCCTCTCCCTTCCCTGGATGGGAATGAAAAGTTCCAACTCTCTAATCATATGGTTGGTTCTTCTGGCACCCAGCCCCCATCCTTAGGTGCTTTCCAAAACTCACCGCAAAAACGTAACAAAAGACACATTTATCACTCTCACCACTTAGGAAATTCTAAGGGTTTTATGAGCTCTGTGCCAGAAACAGGGATGAAGACCAAATATGCATTTCTCATTATAAATCACAAAATCACAACAACCAAGTGGTATGAAAGGCTGGTTCAACGTTCAATCATCAATTAACATAATCATTTCATTGATATATAAACTAAAAAAGAAAAATCACACAATCGTATCAACAGATCCAAAAAAGCATTTGACAAAATCAAACAACCATTCATGATAAAACCTCCTAGTAAACTAAGAATAGAAGGGAACTTCAACTTGATAAAGAATATCTACAAAAATCAAATGGTTAACATCATACTTAATGGTGAAAAAAATCAAAGATTTCCTGCTAAGACCAGGAACACAGCAAGGATGTCCCATCTCACCATTGCTTTTGCAACATCGCACTGTAATTTCAAGCTAATGCATTAGGACAACAACAGGAAATAAAAGATATAGATTAGGAAGGAAGAAATAAAAATGTCTGTATTCGCACATGAAATGACTGTAGATGATCTGAAAAAATCAACCAAAAAGCTCAGGAACTAATAAGCAATTATAGCAGAGTTGCAGGATACAAGGTTGATACACAAGTGAATTGCTTACCCAAATATCAGGAATGAACAAATGGAATTTGATATTAAAAACACAATACCATTTACATTAGCATCCCACAATATGAAACTTAGGTACAAATCATATGAAATCTGTATCAGGAAAACTATGAAACTCTGATCAACAAAATTGAAGTAGAACTAGAAAAATGGAGAGATATTCCACGTTCATGGATAGGAAGACTAAATAGAGTCAAGATGTCAGTTCTTCCCAACTTGATTTACAGACTCAATGCAATCCCAATAAAAATCTTGGCAACTTATTTGTGGATACTGACAAACTGATTCTGAAGTTTATACAGAGAGGCAAAAGACCCAGAATAGTCAACACAATACTGAAGAAGAATAAAGTTGGAGAACTGATGTTACCAACTTACTATGAAACTATAGTAACAAAGACAGCATGGTATTGGTGAGAGAATAGATCAATAGAACAGAGTCCGGAAAGAGACCCTCATATATACGGTCAAGTGATCTCTGATGGAGGAGCAAAGGCAACAAATGAAGCAAAGATAGTCTTTTCAACAAATAGTGCTGGAACAGCTAGACATCCACATGCAAAAAAATGAATCTAGATATACAGAACTTACACCTTCCACAAAAATTTACTTAAAATGGATCACACAGGGGCTTCCCTGGTGGCGCAGTGGTTGAGAGTCCGCCTGCCGATGCAAAAAAAAAAAAAAAGGATCACACACCTAAACGTAAACCAAAACTACAAAACTCCTAGGAGATAACACTGGAGAAAACCTAGATGATGTTGGGTTTGACAATGACTTTTTATATACAATACAATCCATGGTAAACTGGACTTCAGTAAAGATAAAAATTTCTGCTCTACAAAAATCAACATCAAGAGAATGAGAAAACAAGCCACAGACTGGGAGAAAATATCTGCAAAAGATATATCTGATAAGGACCGTTACCCAAAATATATAAAAGAACTCTTGAAACTCAACAGTAAGAAAACAAACAACTTAATTAAAAAATGGGTCAAAGATCTTTATAGACACCTCACCAAACAAGATTTAAATAACTTATAAATAGCAAATATAAAAAGATGCTCCACATCATATGTCATCAGGGAAATGCAAATTAAAACAACAATTAGATACCACTACATACCCATTAGAATGGCAAAATCCAGAACACTGACAACACTAAATGCTGGTCAGGATGCAGAGTGACTGGAACTCTTTCATCGCTGGTGGGAATGCAAAATGGTACAGCCACTTTGGAAGAGAGTTTGGCAGTTTCTCACAAAACTAAACATACTCTTACTATATGATTCTGCTATTGTGCTCCTTGATATTTACCCCAAAACTTATGTGTACACAAATACCAGCTTAATTCAGAACTGCCAAAATTTGGAGGCAACTGAGATGTCCTTCAACAGGTAAATGGATAAATAAACTGTGGTACATCTAGACAATAGCATATTATTCAGCACTACAAAGAAATAAGCTATCAAACAATGAAAACACATGGAAGAAACTTAAATGCATATTACTAAGTGAAAGAAGCCAACATGAAAAGGCTACATACTGTATGTTTCCAACTATATGAAATTGTGAAAAAGGCAAAACTATGGAGACAATAAAAAGATGAGTGGTTGTGAGGGGTTAGGGGAGAGAAAGATGAACTGGCAGCGCAGAGAATTTTTAGGGCAGTGAAGCTACTCTCTAAGATACTATAATGGTGACTACATATCATTGTACATTTCTTCAGATTCCTAGAATGTACAACACCAAGAGTGAATCTTAATGTAACATACAGACTGAGAGATTATTATGTGTCAATTTAGGTACATCAGCTGCAACAAATGAACCACTGGGGTGAAGGATGCTGATAATAGGGGAGGTTAGACATGTGCAGGGGTAGGGTTATATGGGAAATCTCTGTACCTTCTATTCAATTTTGCTGTGAACCTAAAACTCTCTAAAAATAGTCTCTTTTTTTTTTTGCAGTACACGGGCCTCTCACTGTTGTGGCCTCTCCCATTGCGGAGCACAGGCTCCGGACGCACAGGCTCAGTGGCCATGGCTCACAGGCCTAGCCGCTCCACAGTACGTGGGATCTTCCCGGACCGGGGCACAAACCCGTGTCCCCTGCATCGGCAGGCGGGCTCTCAACCACTGCACCACCAGGGAAGTCCATTTTTTTTTTTTTTTTTTAAAATCAAGTAACAGTCTCAACTATGACAGATTGCTCATCATCACCACCTTGTGGGCCAAGAAGCAACAACAAAATACAAAACAAGGTACCTTCAAAAATAAGGAAAGAAACAACTACCTCATTCCATCAACCCAGATTCCATCAATTAAAACACATATTATTTCAGGTTCAACTAAGAAAGAAAATACTGCCAATTAAACTATGACACCATTAACTATAAGTGGCATTCCAATTTCATAGATGTTAAAATGTGTCTTAAAATAAATGAAATGTGGTATTTTGATTTTCCTCAAGCTCCTACCAGTGTTAGAGACTACACAAGAATAAAGCATCTTAAGCTGAACCACAAGAAATTTAGGAAATAAGGGTCAGTAATACTAGGACAATACTAAACGAAATATGAAAATATTCTTCTGTACTTTTCAGGCGGCAAGTTTAGATAATTTAAGGATGGAAATACATAATGTTGGATTTTAATATCTTCTCAGATGCCACCTAGCTTTAAAATTCTTTTTTCAGATTTTAATAGTTCTACACATTACTAAATTTGTCCTCAGAGTAAATGAAAAATTTACTGACATCCTAATAAGGGTAAACGCTTTCTGAACACTCTGAGAAATATTTTCAAATATTATCTCATATAATCCAAGTGAAAGTGGACTTGCATCCCAGAAATGCTGACCCCAGGGTCCATGCTCTTTCCACTCCAGGACACCAGGATGCCTCCAGAATACCATGAGAGCAAACAACATAGCTGGCCTTGATATACAGATTTCAGACAAGCCCTTCCCACTTCCTACTTACCTGGCTGAAGCCTTAAACCGCTCTAAGAACTGAAGTCTCAAGCTCTCATGGCCAGGGAGGTCAATCAAGGTCAGGCTAGTGCCCTAAGGATGCCAGCAATATTATTAATGTTTCAGTCCAGATTCACATTTACAACATAAATCTTTCATATCAGATCGCAGGTATCAGAATGGTACCCAATTAATGAATCAAAAAAGGTCACTGTAACTGATTAATGAATCAAACAAATGTCCACAGAGCATCCTCTATTTATAAATCATGGAGTGAAGGCTCTGGAGATTTAACAATGGACAAAAACATGGTCCTGCCCTAACAGAGTTTATAATATAATCAGAAAGGTCAACACAATGTAAAATTACATGTAAATGTAAAATTACAACTTTGATCAATGTTCTGAGGGTACGTGAGAAACCTGACCCTGTATGGGGAAGTCAGGAAAGTCCACCTGAGGCTGGGAAAAATACCAGTATGAATAAAAGCAAAAACATGTGAAAAACCAGTAATATATTCACAAACTAAATAATATAAGAATCTACATTTTATCACATAACATGTTACCACTGCAGGGATCCCCAACCTTTATAAAAACAAAACATTCTTTTATATTTCTACTGCAATCTAATTTTAAAACATATGTCCACTAGACACACCATTTATTTGTTCCAACTCTGTCAATATTTTTTGTCAATTCTTGATCCAGGTGACAATCACTGAACAGGGCGGGGTTGTGCCACTACAGAGCAGACTGATTAAGTGCCCACTTCCATGCTATTCATGCCAGGCCTTCATTCTTGAGCTCAGGTTCAATGCAGATGTGGCAATGCTCAATCCTAAGACTCTCAGGTATAGCCCCGGCACATTTATCAGACCCACGGATCATTTCTCATATGTTCTGCCTTCTCCACAGCCAGCCTCAACCACTATTCAGCAGGAGGGAGTCAGCATTATGCACAGATTTGACATAATTACAGCTGGATACACTGTGACCTGTCACTTAGTCTGTTTGATCTTTTATAGGTAATACACGAAGTATATTAGCCTTTTTTCTATTTTTATACTGGTAGTGTAGGGACCTCAGGTTGGGACCCCCATCACATTTCGTAATCAGCACCACAACACATACTATAAACAATCCATAAGGTACAGTACTAAATACATTACTATTTTGAGAGACTAAATCTAAAACATAAAGAGGGTGGGAAAAGAAGTAAAAAAGGGAGGGATGTTTTACATATTCAATAGAAACATGCAAGTCTTATTTGTAATGTTAAGTTTTCTGATAGCTATATTAAAAAAGTAAAAAGAAACAGGTAAAATTTTAAAAATATGTATTACATAACCCAGTATATCTAAATTAGCTTTATAACATATAAAAAAATTCAAGAAATTGATATTTTATTCTTTTTTTCATCCCAAGTCTTCAAGATCTGATGTATATTTTATACTTATAGCAGCCCTCAATTTGGACTGGTCACATTTCAGGTGCTCAACAGTCACACACGATCAGTGGCTACTCTGTTGGAAAGTACAGGTCTAAAGCATACCCTGGAATACCCCACTTAAAAGATCTAGTACAAGTGCCCCAAGAATTAAAGATCTCCCAAATCTGAAATTTCAAAATCTGAATCCTTGGGAGTTTAAAAAGGTCTGAGTCAGAAATAGTGCCATTATTGAAAAAAGAAAAAAAATACCTCTAAGACATTTAAAAGGATGTCTCTTTATCTTTGCTTACAATGTTTAATACTGGAGGTACCAGAAAAGGGCAGGGCGGGGGTGGGGAGGGCCCAAGGAGAGGGAGAAAAAGTCTCTAAAATCACCATTCTAATTCATCCATCTATACATCTAATGCCTCCAATCAGTCATCCACCCACCTTCCTTCCACCCACTAACTAAATACCTATTAAGCATTATAATTGGCTTGGCAGTCACTATCTACATTCTGGGGCCATACAGGTACATAAAAAGTCCTTCTCACGATTCCTTATTGGTGTTTTTTAAATATACTCATGTATACTCCATAAGATATCCACTGCAACACTGTTTGTAAAAGCAAGATTGTAACAACCAAAAAACTAAATGTCTGTTAATAGGGCTCTTATTAAATAAAAACTCAACATTAGTTGACAGGAGTAAAAGCTTTCTGATTATACTGTCTTCACATTCAACTGTGATCATGTACTACTTTTCCATGTGTACCTGTAAGACTTTTCTGTCATGTCTCAAAAGTAAAGGCTTTAAGAGAGGAAAAAAAAAATTGTATGGTATAGCCACATAATGGCATACTATGCAGGTCATAAATCAACCTGGTAGTACTATGTATGCAAATGAGGAAGAAAAAATGAAAACAAATCCAAGCTGTATCAGTTATATTGTTAAATTAAAAACAAAAACAAACGGGAGGGGGTAGAACACAGTGTTAAAAAAGAAAAAAGTAAAGATATACAGATATGTTTGTATAGCATAGACCATCTGGAAGGCTATACAGGAAAATGGTAAGTTACTACCTCCAAAGAGAAGACTTGTAAGAAGGGATAGGAATGGCAAAATTACTTTTCACCCAATATCCCTTCTAACCTTTTGAATTTTTGTCCCATATACATGTACTAAAGAAAAAGGCTTAATGCTCACTCTTAAGAACTCATGGTAAAGTTGGAATTAAGAAACAGAAACAAAAATTAATAAATAATCAGTGTGCATAAGGTACAACAAAGCAGGGGAGGGCATGATTTAAGTCCACTGCTTGGATGGTCAAAAGAAGAATTTGTCACATGCACAATATTTATCCATAAAAATAAGCTATGAACGTACCTATGCCCTCAGACTAATTTATCCTAGAAATGTCTTTTCCTGACACACCAAAGTAAAGTAAAACTGTCAGACTCCCCACATTCTAGGAACCTCTTACCCTGTTACTGTTGACCCTGTAGGCAGCAGAGCTGTCAGTGATGGAAGTCTGAGTGTCTCTGTAAAGGCCTGTTAACAACTGTAAAACAAAACAAAACAAAACACAACATGGAGGAGATCAGAGTAAACATATAAATAGCAAACCTAAAGAAAGTAACTTTGCTCTAACTCTCCTAGGTGTAAGGTCAAATAAACGAATGTTACTTGCAATAGCTGAAAAGGACCATATTAGTATTTTTTTTCTTTCTTCCTTTGCTTGTACAAAAATCTTATTAATTGCAAACTTCATTCCCCTCTCCTTAACGAGAGGAGGGGGATAACTATTATTTTTAAACTATTATTTTCAAATAATAGTTTCAAATGGTTAGTGGCCAAATTTACTGACCTTCCATCAACATTTACAATCATCAAAGTGGAAGGGAAATAATTTATACTCTCAAAAAGAAGAGTAATCAGAAGAAAACCTCTGCTACTCTCTGTAGCAAAAACCAAACATTTAAAAATACTACATAGGGCTTCCCTGGTGGTGCAGTGGTTGAGAGTCCGCCTGCCGATGCAGGGGACACGAGTTCGTGCCCCGGTCCGGGAAGATCCCACATGCCGCGGAGCGGCTGGGCCCGTGAGCCATGGCTGCTGAGTCTGCGCATCCGGAGCCTGTGCTCCGCAACAGGAGAGGCCACAACAGTGAGAGGCCCGCGTACCGCAAAAAATAAATAAATAAATAAATAAATAAATAAAAATACTACATGGACTCAAAATAAATATTAGTGAAAAGAAGCCTAAGTAGCCAATAGGCAGAAGAAGAATCACCCTTTAAAAAAGTTTCTTTGACAAAGTCTCAGAAAAATTATACACTGTATACAGATTACTGCCCCTCTATCTCTTCAGCTGGTCTGGCATCCTTAGCCATGACATGAAAGTAGTATATAAAACCCTTAAATGGGATAAGGGTTAAATGTCAGTATCTGGCAAGTACAAGAGAATAGAAATGGTCAAATTCCAGTTTAAGAGCTTTTCAAGAGTCTTTTCATCCTACCAAGTGATTCAAGAATTAACTCCCCAATTTGTCAGCACAGCTTCTTTTCCAAAGTACACCTCACAGGAATAATGGGGTGCCCTAAAATTTCCTATCAAGTTTAAGAGAGGTGTAAATCAAAGCATTTACTCTGACAAAAAGCAATGTTTTCCCGGAGTCACAAAGGCCAACAAGAAGAACAGCTCTTTGACTGCTCCTTCTGCTCCGGATGAACTTCCAGAACACTGTGGAATAGAGAAAAACAACCAAAATTATGCCTTGATTATCAACAATATGCATGTATGGTTGGGCTGTGGGAAATTAAGTCTACCACAGAACACTTCATTCACCTGGAACTTACCTCCATTGTTATTACCACCATTATAATCATTATTGTTTTAGGGACTCCGCTGAGTACCTGCCACTAACAGCTGTCAATTTTTCTGCATCTGCAGCCCCTACACCGACGGCGTACTCTTCAAGCGCAATCTTGCTCATTAGCTTTGTGTCCCCAGCGCCCAGTTCGCAAACATAGGATGCTCAAACTTGGAGCGACGACCATTGCAGTCTTCGTAGCAAGAGCAATGAAAGGGAGAAAACCGCGCGCTCACGCAGAACAGGGGCTAGTAACGCTGCGCTGCTCCTGCTGCTTCAGACAGGAGGGCAGGTTGGTATAAGGGGTGATTCCCCCTCTCTAGACGCCCCCCCGATGCCATGTCCGTTCCGCGTCCGCGGTCTGCACAAGCCCAGTCCAAGCTCGGATCCCCGCCAGCCCTGCACCCGCCATATCTACCGGCCGCCTCTTTACCCAGCGTCAGCAGCACCGCGACGAGCGCCACCACGACTGACAGCAGCGTCGGGTCCCTCTGCCACAGTTCCTGCCGCAAGGAGTCCAGGTAGAGCTGGAAGGCGCCTCCGACACTGCCGCCGTTCCCCATCCGCCGGGAGTCCGCGGAAGCCATGGCTGAGATCTTGCTAAGCGGCACCGCAAAACCTACGTGGCCCTCGGCTCTGCGCAGGCGTCCGAAGCGGAGCATCACGGGAGTGGTAGTTCCTAAGTTATATTTCCTCCTTCGGAGGCCGGGATCCCGAAGGTCCTGATGGTAGTTGTAGTTCTCTTGGACACTGCGCTCCCGCCGAAAAGACTGAGCTGCCAGACACAAGTATGAGTTACACGCTCATCCTTTAAGATATGAGTCAGATGTCGCCGCTCTCTTCATGGTTGTTGACAAAATGATGGATGAATAAAATGAATGGCTCGAGAAATCTCTGCTGAAGATTTCTAGTCGCTCCCTTCGTGAGGTGAGGTGTCTTGTGAGGAACTCAAGCATTACACAAATATTTCATCGGAAAATCACGTGGCAGGAGGTGTGACTGAAGATGTAAGGTGCGGTATGGGAATGCAGAAAGGGGCGCCTAATCCACATGGGTTCAGAGAAAAGCTCCCGGAGGAAAACGACAGGAACTGGGCCATGAAGGATGAGTTATCCTCTGCAGGTGAAACAGGAGAAAGGGTGCTCTGTGCAGAAGAAAAGAGCAATTCAGTGTCCCTACACTGTAAATCCAGGGCTGCAACTGAGATACCTACGTTAAGGGAAGCAGCCAGGAAAGTCAATGGGACGGGCAGAGCCTGTTGAAAACTGTCACTCCTGCCCTAAGGGGGCAGCCACCACTCTGCCAGGCAGGTATGTGGGAGCAAGGTGGCCAGTTCTTCAGTTTTTCAAGAGAAGCCAGAAAGAAAGGTTTTTAAGAGAAATTTTCCACTTTTTAAATTTCAGCAAGTAATGAAAACTTGTAGCCCAAATAAAACACCTCATAGGGTCAGAAGTAGCCGGCCTAGGGGCTGCCAGTTTGCAGTCTCTGTCACTAAGCAGGTGTCATTTCAGCAGAAGTGGCAGGAGATGAAGCAGGAAATGTTGGCAAAAAACAGACATGAAGGGACCGTGTGCTATGCTGAGGAACCTAGACTTTATCTAGAGTGCAATAAGAAGTTTCAGTTGGGAGTGAAATAGATGACTGGCAGATCAATGGAGAACTATGGTTTGAGAGGGAAAAGACTGGAGGCAGGGAGACCAGCTGGGGCTGTTGCAGTGTTTTGGCAAATGATGCACAGGGTCTGAACCAGGGAAATGTGGAAAGTGGAAAGGAGGGCACAGACATGAGAGATATTTAGAAGGAAAATATATAGGATTTAGTGATTAATTGGATAAGCTGAGTTAAGGAGAAGGAGAGCTATCAAGACTGCATCTGAAGCACTTGGTGTGTGTTGCTGGGAAGATCAAAGTGCTTAACGCGAATCAGAGAACTCAGTTGAAGGGTCTTTGGAGCTGGGGACATAGCCAGGATGAAAACTGCCTCTCTTTTGTGTATATGGAGTTCCCGGTGCCTCTGGGAAGTCTGAAATCGTATATCAAGCAGGTGATACAGTAAACAAATGTGAAGTCAGCAATAGGTGCTAGATTTTCATTTGGAAGTCATATGTAAACAAGCGGTCATTAAATTGTGGAGAGCATGAGGAATGAGGAGGAGAGGGAACCCCACAAAGAAGCCTGAGAAGGGAGGGTCAGCGACACAGGAGTAAAACGTGTCCTGGAATTGGCCAGCAGCATCTCTGCAGCAGAGGTTGAAGGCTTGAGTGAAAAGTGAGCTCAGGGGGAACAGCGGGGAGGGGTGGGGGGAGACAAGGTAATAAGGATAATTGCTCACATTAATGAGTGGTTGCTAGAGCCAGGCATTGTTCTAAATACTTTAAATTTATTAATTTGTTTAATCCTCACAATGACCCATTATCCCAATTTTACAGAGGGAAAACTGGGACAGGGATTGAGTAACCTACCCACCGATTCCAGGCAGTCGGGCTCCTTTATGCTTGACTATATGCTCTAACACAGTATAATTCATTTTCCAGGCATTTCATTGATAAAGGTAGGCAACAGGGACTCCAGATTAAGGAAGGATGTTTAGGATGGGAGGTTAAAGTTAGTAAACCAACTTCTATATTTTAAATTAGCATTATGAATTAAAACTGTCAGAACTGACAGGAATCTTACCACATTCTATTTCTTTTCTTTCTTATGGTCTTGATCCCTACTCTGTATCCACCACCCAACACGCGCGCGCGCACACACACACACACACACACACACACACAGTTCCTTTATAATAACTTCTGTTAGGGACTAAAAATGCAGGGAAGGAGGAAGGGCCAGGCATGGAGAACATCTACCAGAAATGTCCTCAGTGTATAGGGATTTTTAGTCAGAGCTACGTGAGTGAACAAGTGCCGTGTTGGTGGAGAAATTTGGGGATGAGGAAGCAGGGCTTTGATAAGACATGGTCATGCTGTTTTTCAATTTGTTTCCTGCGTATTATGAAGGCAGAAGAAATGTGCACACCTTCCACCCTCGTGTTAGAAGGTGGTGCTGCCATTCTGAGTAATGAGAGCAGGAGAGAATGGCGTCGGAGGCTTCCTGTCCTCTCACGTCTCTGCCTCAGGGACTCCGCAGGCTCCCAGGGGCTCTGTGGGGATGGATGTCAAGGAAGGACGTGCAGACACTGACTGCTGCTGGCTGAAAGTGCTCTGCTCCCTGATTCTAACAGCAGATGGAGAGTTACAATAAAACCAACATAGACAATTTTTTCTTCTCTTCCATTAATTAAAATGTCTCATTCACCGGACACATTTTTCTCTCCTGTTCCCAGCAGCTCCAAATCATAATGGAACCTATCTCAGACTCAAGGACACCAATCATGTGATTCCCCTACTCTGGCTTATCTCTTTAACTCTGTTTCTTTGAAAACATGGAGGATTTTTTAAAAAAGAATTAAAATGAGACATTTATTATATTAAAAACTCAATATAATAATGAAAGATCAAAGAAGAAAGACACAAATCGCCTTAGTTTTTATACCAATAGTATCTGGTGAACATGATTTCAGACATTGTACAGATATACTGACAAGAAGGCAGTCTAGAGGGAGGAATAAATAAAAAATAGACAGAAATTATTTTCAGAGACTATAATATGCCTTGCTGTGTTAACAGTCCGTAGAACAGTGCCTGGATCATGGTAGGTACTCAGCGCGTTGTTGATAAAATTAGATTTGTTGGCTCATTGCAATAAGACAGACCACACGCCAGAGGAATGGTGGGACATCTCACCAAACAAAGGAAAAGAAAGAATTATTATAGGATTTGAGGTGAGGGTGGAGTTTAGGTGGATATTACATAAAGCAGAGTGTTGCTAGACTCAAAGCAAAGCAGGGCTGTATGTAAAAAGGTGAACATCAGGTCTGGTCTGCAAAATGGACCCAGGGTCTGTTTCCTTGGTTACTAGAAAGTTGAGAGATGTGGACTGTTGTGTTCAGAACCCCCTACCTGCAGCTGTTCCCCAGAGTGTAGAGGAGTTAGGAAACAAAGGGGCAAACTGAAGAGTTGTTTAGAAGGCAAAATCAGCAGAACTTGCTGACATTGGATGTGGAATGAGGGGAAAGAGTGAATTGAAATTTGACTCCTCAGTTTGTGACTCCTGTGAGTGGGTAGCAGACCATGTCTTTACCCAGTATGAAATATATGGAAACAATAGTTGGATTAGGGAAGCAGGAGAGGGAAGGGGTAAGATGATCACCTCACTTTTCTTTCTGTTGGGCTTCCGATTGCTGTGCGAACTCTACCGTATAGATGCACAGGCAGGAGGAGGTGTGAGTGTGGGATGCTGGAAGCAGGGGTGAGCACAATAGATGTAGATGCCCAGGAGTCATTCTCATTGCTTACGGAGGGCCTGGAAAAGCACTGGATCAAGAGAAGAACCCCGGGAAGATTACCCTACTTTTCAGAACTGGTAGGATGAGCCCACAGTAAGACCACAAGAGGACAGAGAGGTAGGAACCAAAGCGAAGAGCTGCTGTGTCAGAGAAACTGGGAGAGGGTTCCAAGGAAGGGTGAGTGGTCAGCCATATCAAGTTAGTAAACAGACTCAAGGATGAAAGAACAAGTTGGTTTTCACAGCTGGCAGGTGGGTGGTAACCTTGACCCAAGTAGCTGCAGGGATATGAGTGGAGCAGAAGGCTGATTTCTCTGTGTTCAGCCATTAATAACCAGTGAGGGGTGGGAAGAATAAGGCTCCACCTTTCAGGAGCTCCACTAAGAATGGGAGGAGACAGGGCAGTGACTGCCATGGGAGGCGGGGTCAAGCTATGATTTTTAGCAAGAAGAGTTTCCAGTGATTCACTTTTCCAAGCAGTAAGAGTCAGGACTTCACGTATACCTGATGAAATTTATGAAAAATATTTTAAATGTGTAAATCGTCTATATTCTTTTTCTGTACTGCCTTGAATGCTCCATCTCAATACTTACTCTGCATCCTCCTTCCTTCCCCTTCCCCAGCAACACACACACACACACACACACACACACACACACACCACACACAGCCTTATACACTTGATTATATTATAATGACCATGCAGACCCCTTTTAGAAAGAATTCCTACTTGGACTGTACCCAGGAGGTATGGCTATGGGAAAGAGCAAATGAATCTTGAGCTCTGAAGGAAGGGCTAGTTGCACATGTATTTAGCCCTTCCAGACCAAACATTTAGGGAAAAAATGAAGTTTTTAAAAGATAAAACCAATAATAATTTTTATTTTGTCCCGCAGAGGTGCCACCACCAAACTGAAGGCAACCAAACCACTCAGACCAGCAAAACCAGGGGAAGCTTATGGGTCCGGTGAGCTCCCATCTCCATCAGGTGGTGGCCCCACTCTTGGATTTTAACCTCTGTGGAAACTGCAGGCTTCCAGGAGTTCTGTGGGGACAGAGCAGAGGGGTAGGGCAGTTAATATCTACCTATATTTGTTTTCTGTTAAGTGAATCAACAGTTAAGCCTGATACAAAAGTGCTCAGACCCATTGCCCTGCTCTTCTGATGGGTGGACCTGGCCGTTCTCCTAGTGGCCTCCTCCTCCTGCCTGCACAGCTCTTGTGCCTACAGCGGGCAGTGTCTCACACCAAGAATGGTAACAGGATTTCCCTGCCCTACATCATCCCCCATCTTGTGTCTTACGGGCAGGGCTCATACGCCTGAGTCCATGTGGCTGGAACGAGCCTGGGAGGACTGTCCTCTCTGATCCAAGTGAGGAACTAACATAACGAGATGCACTAAGCACCCAGCACGTGCCAGTTTCCGTCCTGGGAGCTGGGGATGGAGCAGAGTACAGCAGGGCCAGAGTCTCCCCCCCTCACAGACTATATAGGTAAATACAACCTGGGTACTCAGAACAGTGGCCATGGATCCTTCCTTATACCAGAATTATGTGGGCAGGTGTTTAAATGCAGAAACCCTGAACCTGGCACAGACTTGCTGAATCAGTATCCCCAGGACCTGGGAATCAGTATCTTAAGGACTGTGGCTTATGGACCTGCACTCTGCAGTTGAAGAATAACCTCCCTGTAGCTACATGGTATTCTCCCACATCTTCCAAATGATTCCAAGTCATTAAATGATGTCCAACATAGCTATAGTACAAAGGTGTGTTTTACTGTATTCTAGTTCTTAGAAAACTGGTGTTCTAGATAAGTACAGGCATACCTCATTTTATTGTGCTTCGCTTTATTGCACTTCACAGATGTTGTGTTTTTTACAAATTGAAGGTTTGTGGTAACCCTGCATCAAGCAAGTCTACTGGTGCCATTTTCCCAATAACATTTGCTAACTTCATGTCTCTGTGTCACATTTTGGTAATTCTTGAAATATTTCAGACTTTTTCATTATTATTATATATTTGTTATGGTGATCTGTGGTCAGTAATCCTTGATGTTACTATTATTAATTGTTTTGGGGCACCACAAGCCATGCCCATTAACATGGCAAACTTAATTGATAAATGTTGTGTGTGTTCTGACTGCTCCACCAGCACAACAATATTGAAATTAGGCCAGTTAATAACCCTACACTGGCCTCTAAATGTTCAAGTGAAAGGAAGAGTTGCACATCTCTCACTTTAAATCAAAAGCTAGATGTGATTAAGCTTAGTGAGGAAGGCCTGTCCAAAGACAAGCTGGGCGTCTTGTGCCAAACAGTTAGCCAAGTTGTGGACATAAAGGAAAAGTTCTTGAAGGAAGTTAAAAGTGCTGCTCCAGTGGACACAGAAATGATAAGAAACAGCCTTATTCCTGATATGGAGAAAGTTTTAGTGGCCTAGATAAAGGATCAAACCAGCCACAACATTCCCTTAAGCTAAAGCCTAATCCAGAGAAAGGCCCTAACTCTCTTCAGTTCTGTGAAGGCTGAGAGAGGTGAGGAAGCTGCAGGAGAAATGCCTGAAGCCAGCAGAGGTTGGTTCATGAGGTTTAAGGAAAGAAGCCATCTCCAGAACATAAAAGTGCAAAGTGAAGCAGCAAGTGCTGATGTAGAAGCTACAGCAAGTTACACAGAAGACCTACCTAAGATAGTTAATGAAGGTGGCTACACTAAACAACAGATTTTCCATGTAGACAAAACAGCCTTCTATTGGAAGAAGATGCCATCTAGGACTTTCATAGCTAGAGAGGAGAAGTCAATGCCTGGCTTCAGAGCTTCAAAGGACAGGCTGACTCTCTTGTTAGGGGCTAATGCAGCTGGTGACTTGAAATTGAAGCCAATGCTCATTTACCATTTCAAAAATCCTAGGGCCCTTAAGAATTATGCTTAGTCTCCTCTGCATATGCTCTATAAAGGGAACAACAAAGCCTGGATGACGGTACATCTGTTTACAATATGGTTTACTGAATATATTAAGCCCACTATTGAGACCTACTGCTCAGAAAAAAAGATTCCTTTCGAAATATGAGTGCCCACTAACAATGTACATGGTAACCCAAGAGCTCTGATGGAGATGTACAAGATTAATGTTGTTTTCATGCCTGCTCACACAACATCCATTCTGCAGCCCATGGATCAAGGAGTCATTCTGACTCTCAAGTCTCATTATGAAAGAAATACATTCCATAAGCCTATAGCTGCCATAGATAGTGATTCCTCTGATGGGTCTGGGCAAAGTCAAATGAAAACCTTCTGGAAAGGATTCTTCATTCTAGATGCCATTAAGAATATTTGTGATTCATGGAGAAAGGTCAAAATATCATCATGAACAGGAATTTGAGAGAAGTTGATTCCAATCCTCATAGGTGACTATAAGGGGTTCAAGACTTCAGTGGAGGAAGTAACTGCAGATGTGGTGGAAATAGCAAGAGACCTAGAATTAGAAGAGGAGCCTGAAGATGTGACTGACTTGCTGCAATCTCATGATAAAACTTTAATGAATAAGGAGTTGCTTCTCATGGATGAGCAAAGAGAGTGGTTTCTTGGGATGAAATCTACTCATGGTGAAGATGCTGTGAAGATTGTTGAAATGACAACAAAGGATTTAGAATATTATATAAACTTAGTTGATAAACTAACGGCAGGGCTTGAGAGGATGGAACTCCAATTATGAAAGAAGTTCTGCTGCGGGTAAAATGCTATCAAACATTGCATGCTACAGAGAAATCGTTCATAAAAGAAGAGTCAATTGATGGGGCAAACTTAATTGTCGTCTTATTTTAAGAAATTGCCAGAGTCACCTCAGCCTTCAGCAACCACCACCCTGATCAGTCAGCAGCCAGCACCATTGAGGTAAGACCCTCCACCAGCAAAGAGATTATGACTTGCTGAAGGCTCAGATGATGGTTAGCATTTTTTAGCAATAAAGTATTTTTTAATTAAGGTACGTATATTGTTAGACACTTTTTAGACATAATGCTATTGCACACTTTATACTGTAGTATAAACATAACTTTTATGTGCACTGGAAAGCCAAAAACTTCATATGTCTTGCTTTATTGCAATATTCCTTTATTGCAATAGTCTGAAACTGAATCTGCAACATCTCCGAGGTATGCCTGTGGTGTGTATGGCAACTTTAGAGTTACTGGAACTTATCATTTTTCAAGCTTTCAGGAGCAGCACCATGTAAAAGAACTCTCTGCAATGCTGGAAATGTTCTCTTTGCTCATCTATGTGGAGACACATGTATCTATTGAGCGCTTGAATTATGGCTAGTGTGACTGAGGAACTAAATTTAAAATTTTGTTTAATACTAATACAAATTGAAATACCCACATGTAGCTAGAGGCTACCATCTTGAACAAGGCAGCACTGTATAAAAAGGTGTTTATAGCAGAGTAATTGGCATGGGCACATAACTCTCTTCCTTTTCTTAGTAATAGCATGGAATTCTGTATGTCCTGGCAGTCACTGCCTCAGTGCCTTCAGCCCGTGCCCCCTTACGATCAGCCCATGCAAGTTAGCCTTTCATTCATGCTGGGATTGCATTGTTCCCTCAGCATTTCATCCTGTCTGTTGGTCATCTCCTGGGGACTGCAGCCCGCTCCTCCTTTTGTATCCAGCACCCAGAACCCCGCACATGTTCGTTTTGCAGATTCCCCAATGCTGTTCCTCTTACTCACTTGAGGTTGAGCATTGTCTCAGGTTAGCCACAGCTGTGACATACTCAGTTCCTAAGTAGGTTTCATACGTTGTTGCGTTCGGAAGTTCAGCCAAACATTTAGTGTCACTCCTGAACAGAAGGTCCTTGTTTTCTGAGTGGAACAAACAAAAACTGCTCGGGCAGTTAGTTCCATTGTTTCCAAATTGATCCTGTCAAATGGACAGAAAGTGCATGAGGACGTGTGGCAAAGAGCTGCTGGGAACGCATGGATGGGATGGAGGGGACTGGAAGCTGGGAACCAACCCTGGGAAGAAAGGGAAGCCGCAGAGGATGCCTCGGGATCTTTCCACATCCATCACCTGGCATTCATACAATTATGGACCACAAATCTGTGCTTCCATGAGGCCCCAAAGTCCTCTGTAGGGTCTATCCTGGTCCCATCTCCTTGGGGAAGTCCCTGCCTCCTGCCCACTGCTGACCTCTGATCTCTCTTCCTCACTTCGTTGGCCATGGTCTTGGGGGCGGCTTCCAGGAAATGAGAGGGAAGAAGCATGTCCCTTTTAAGTATTATTGTCAAAGAAAATATTAAATATGAGCAACCCAGTGAGGAGTAGTACAGGTAGCTGTTAAAAGTTCATATTTGACTTTTAAGTTCATGTGAACTTAAAAGTTCATCTTTGATCCTATCTTGATAAGAGGCTCAACTCCTCCAGGCCTTCTAAGATTATAAGTGAAATAATGATTACAGAACATTTAGCATTCCATCTAGCACTTAGGAAATGTCCATTAAATACTAATTATTAGTACCATTTACCTTCAGAGGACTCACAAAGGTAGCTATCTTAATTTTTAAAAGAAGAAAACCAATGGTGGATCAACAGAGAGGAAGCTGTCACTGAGGGGAGGGTGGTGTTTGTGGGTGGAGGGGTCTTTAGGATTAAAATACTCAGGCAGTCTCTCTCCCCACAAGGCCAGCCCTGGGTTGGTTGTTTTCCCCAGAGGACAAGTTCCCTCAGGGTAGGTTCCTGGGTTCTACTGCCTGTTGGAATGGTTCTTAGTATGCCTAAGCAAGAGAAACACAGTCCACATTTCATGACTTGTATCTAGAAGGGCTGGGAAATAGGATCAGTCACCTTCATTTTAAAAAAGGCAGAAGTGGGGAAAATGAGGGTACCACAGAGCAAGGTCAGCGTCGAGCTGCAAGGCAGGTACTTGGACCCTGGGACACATGCATCAGATGGGGTCTGATCTCTAGTGAGCAGAGTGAGGCCTGGGAGATCCAGTTCCACAATCCATGCCCTCCCAGTTCTAACTTCCAGGAAAAGAATGCTGGGGTACGGGCTGGGACTCAGCTGGGAAATCCCCAAATAATCCACACGCACACAGGAAGAAAGGGTTGGAGGCCCTGTCTGTGCCACCATACCTGCTGTCTGTTTAATATTCTGCGAACACAAGCTGCCTTATCTTCCCGTGAGACCACAGCATGATTCGGGGCTCGGGCCAGGTGGCAATCTTTAGCCTTATCCACAGACTTCCTGTTTCCATCGGTGCATAGCAGCTCAAAATCTTTCTCCTGCAGTGTTTTTGCCCACTCTTCAGGGTTTTCTTTTGGGTACAGAAAAGGTGGGTCAGCCACAGTTTTGATCAAGGCACACCTCACTGGGGAGATGTGACCAACCCACTGGCGTGTGGAGGGCCTGGACCCAGTGGCCAGCAGGGGTTACAGTAATGTGGAGAGGAAGAGAGTTACCAGGAATTCCCAGAGACCACTCCTTTCAATCTGCCCACCCAGCCAGGGGAGGGTGAACCACATTCTATGGATGATGTTCAAAATGATCTTCATTTCTTCTAAATTCCAAAGCATTTGGATCTCCTGCTCCAGTGTAGAAAGAATGTGACCCTCTAAGCAGGTTTGTGCTGTACCATCTGGCACTAGCAAGCAAAAGAACTTTCCCCAGAAGCCCTTTTGGAAGGGCCAAAGATTTCACTTTTAGGAGTGAAATCTGGCTCACTCGTACTAGTTCTATGTGGAATGCACGCATGCCTCTGTGCATACAGGTCCATATCCTGTTCTCAGCCCCTTGCTTCATCTTTTCTGTATTCTCTCTGAAAAAAGAACATCTCACCTATTCTCAAGGTTTAAGCTCCTTCCTCCTAAGGCAATTCTCAAATAAGTTTTCCCGGTTTTTGCTTCTCTCCTAAAATACAGGATTGCAGTCTTTTTCTTAATTTAATTTTCTCATTTAATTGAAAAACTAATATATGAATGCAGTATTTTAAAAGTTTAAATTTATATAGAGAGTAAAAATATCCCTTTTCCTACACTCTCCAAAGGTACACTTTTGGTTTTTATAGAAAACCCCAAATTGCCTGCCTTTCCTCCCACCAGTACCTGCACATATCTTTGCTCACCTTTTAACATTTCTCCTTTCTTTTCTTACCCATCCCTCCAACTCAACACCTTCCAAGTGAAATCCATCCTTATTCTCTCCAAACCCATTCTGTTCTACTTAGTACTTTAAGCATTTATTCAGTACCATGTCCTCAGCCTTCTGCAAGACACAGTCTTATTGGAGGGGGGAAATAGCACACATACCAAAATCAAAAATGCAGGGCACAGATAATAACATTTTGTATTTTGTGTAACACTCTCTAAACGCTGTGTGAGCTAGGGAACCAGCACAGCGAGAGCACATTAACTCAGGAAGGCTAGCTGGAGAAGGCAAGCTTTCAGGTGTGTCCTGTAACATGTGTAGGCCTGAGAGGAGGAGAGAGGAACGCTTCTCTGTGAGGGGATGGAGGGCTCCGGCAAGACTCACGGACAGGTACGTGCCCGGTGTTCCTATTGGGTGGAGGAGAGCCCCCCTGGAACAGAGTCTTGGGCAGTCAGGCTAAACATGCTCAGATCCTCAAGGCCCTGAGTGTGGGATGGAGTGTGGCACTTAGGTAGGAAGAAAAGTGGGTCTATGAGAACTTATGAATGGAAATCAGTGTTAATGTGTGAGCCTGAAATAGGACAACTAGGAAAAATGAGATGGGAGGTGATTTGGTCTGGGTTAGGAGCAGTGGGCATCTAGAAGGGCATGATAAAAAATTTTCTTTCCACTACAAATAATGCTTGTTTACTGCAGCTAATTTGTAAAATGCTACATAGTTTAAGGAAGAAGACTTTGAAACCCAGTATAATCCCACAGCATTCACCTTCAACATTGGTGCATTACTTCTAGTCTCTTTTCTAGACTCATATGATGTGCAGACACATATCTATATAATTAGATCATACAGTCTCTATGCCTTTGTATCCTGGTTCTTCCATATCACAACATACCATAGAATTTAATGAAGACATATCTAGTCCGAAGAAACAAAAAACATACTGACTGAAAATTTAATCTAGGCTCGACTGGCAGGGCATATAAGACCTCCATGGGGACAGAGGCTGTGTGAAGAGGACTGGGTTTTGAGAGAAGTATGAGGAGTTTGGATTTATACAGGTTGAGTTTGCAGTGCCAGTGTACTTTGTACATAAAAATGACCACAGGGCAAACAGAGATCCTGGGATGTTATTTAGATGGGAGGTGGGCCTCCTCTATAAATTCCCCTCAGGAGGTAAGGCTTTTGGAGTCTTTGCAAAGACAGTTGCGGCCTTGAGAGGGGAGCCCTACTTGGAAGGGTACAAAGAGAAATCAAGGGATGACAAAGAACCAGCCTAGGGTAACACTCAGGTAGCAGGAAAAAGGACAGCCCTTAAAGGAAAAAGCAAAAGTAACAGGAGGGAAGAAAGAAAAATTAGCCAAACCAATTATTCCTTCAAGTAAGTACTTAGCAACTTCTGTGTGCCATGTACTGTGGTTGGTGTTGGGATGTAAGAAGAGGAAAAAAGAGCTCCCTGTGGCCATAGTTTATTACAGAATGTGATGAATTCAATAATAAGAGCAATATGGACAGAGGATTCTGTTGTGGGATGGAGGTGTGCCACTGGGGAAGGCATCTTAGAGGAGTTGGTCCTGTACTAGTTCATTCTAAATGAGTTGCTGGAAAAATTTGAGGTTGAGTAAAGGGACATGAGGGAAGGAGGGAAGTAATAGCTGCCTGGACTCTAGATGGGGAATATAAGCAGTTAGTGATAGAGAGTGGGCAGGTGGAATACTCATTCTTACTGACATTTTTAAAATTTTTGTCTTGTTTGTTAATGTCATGGCCATCTAATATTCACCCACTAGTTTTAGTGCCCATTGATGATCCTTGCTTGAATCAATTATTACTATCTTGGTTGCCAAACGATAGTTTTTTAACTTCATAATTATTTCTGCATCTGTAATTAGCATTCTACAATAAGGAAGATGTTTCCCTTATACTCATTTGTTTAATCAGGATGGACTTATGCGTTCCTATTTTATTCAATGGGTTATTATTTCTTACTACTATTATTATGTCTTTTCAAGCTCAAAATGTCCCAGATTTGGCCAGTGGAGGGCTTTCACAATGGCTCCTTTGTGCTTTGATACGTCCCATCTCTCTGAGCTCTTCAGCATGATGTTCCAGGTTCACCTTATACTTTTCCTGCCCCAGCCACAGAATCAGCTATTTTTCCAAGGGGCCTTGGTTCCTTCTATTGGAGAATGGTTCTAGAAGCCAAGGTCTTGGTGCTCATTCCTACAGGGGTGCCACTGTCTGTATGTTTTTCCCAGTGGACCTATAATATATTTAAATATATATTGGACCTAGAAATATGAGAAATAGTTATAAAGGACCTTTTGGGGATAACTCACAGAATTTGAATAGGGACTGTGGACGTGATGAGTATTAAATCCATGTTAGTATAAATTTCCTGATCTTGCTAATTGTAATGTAGGTATGTGAGAGAAAGTCCTGGTTCTTAGGAAATGTGCACTGAAGTATTTAGGGGAAAGGAGGCACAGTGCCTGCACCTGTAGGAAGGTTCCTGGGAGAGACTCAGGGCCACTGGGAAGCCCATGGTCCTTACCATTCTGCCTATCCAAGCAAACACTTCTCTCTTCACCGAACAAACAGGTTGAGAATCAGAGCTCTGGACCCTGACAGAGTCCATAACACTTCCACAAAGACATCTTGGACACAAGTGAACCAGCGACCCTGATTTATGGGGACAAAGGTTATGCACGTACCACCAGTGTTCTCTTTGACAGTCTGGTCCTTCACAAAGGCCACGTCTCCCTTCTCAACCAGACACCTGCAGAGTCCCAGACAGGGAGAGAGAAGAAAAGAGGCCAGAGACACATCTGTCATTCAGAAAGGCCACCTTATAGATCCAGGGCTGGCCATCTGATATCAGCAATTGTGATTCCCATTTGATCACTAATCTATTGTCACTGATCTTACATATTACTAATGTAAGTAATAAAAAGAAAACAAAACCTCTGATATGCTTTGTAGTTATACAATCTCACTTCTGCACTCTAAATTCTGGCCCATTTTCTCCAACAGAGCTACATCCATTTCCTAGCTTCAACACAGATATTAGAGGGGCAGTCTTCCCTCAAGGTGATTCCTTACTCACAGTCTCCCTGTAAAATTGTAAACTTGTGGGCTGTGAATTGTTCTTACTCTAACTCACAAGCTGGCTGTACCTGGGAAGTTGGGATAGTCTTTGTTTTTCCTTCCCTAGTGAGAATTTTAGTTACAATACCACCATCATTGGGAAGTTGATGGATTCATGAACTGCTAAGTGACACAGGCCCAAGCCAGACAGGATAGTTAAAAACTAATAAGGTCGTAAAGTGCACAGGTGTCTCTTTAAAAATGATAGAAACTCCATGAACTAGAAATGTAACCAAAGATGTAGAAGTCATGTACTTTACTTTTGTATTGATATATTTCCATGGTTGTAGGTTCCCCCAGAGGTGAATGGAAGAGCAGGAGCCAGATGCTTGACTCCTGTGTTTATTCAATTATGGTAGGGTTTCCTCACCTGGCACTTGTGACATTAGGGGCCAGATAATTCTTTGTTGTAGGGTGCTGTCCTACGCATGTAGGATGTTTAGCAGCCTCTCCCAGTTAGATGCCAGTAGCATCCCCCAACTCCACTGATAATCAAAAACATCTCCAGACACTGCCAAATGTCCCCTGAGGGGCAAATCACCCCCCACTGAGAACTTCTGACCTGTACCATACTGCCAGTCTTTGCTGTCTATGACAGCCAGGTCTGGAGACCGTGTCCTGGAGGGAGCTGGATGCCTCTTCTCACAGGTTTCTACTTATGTTTGTAAATGTGACACCCTAACATGCAGGACTAATGGGATAGGAATGTAAGAATCTCACCTGCGTTCCTAAAAAGGAATTTCGTCAGGGCTGGGATTACTATTATTTTTGTATGAGGATTATAATACTCACCTGAAAGCCCCTGAATAGCCATAGTATCTCTCATGGTTGTTGGGAAGACACTCCCTTCCCGGAACACCTTCTGAGCCAATGCACAGAGCACAGAGACTGGAATTTCGCAGAGACCCAGGAGCACAGCCTTCACTGAAAAATTTATCTGTGCAGAAGGATAAGAGAAAGTCAGCTCTTCCTGAGTCAATGTCAGTGGCCTTTACCTAACACATCACAGGTGTGTATGGCCCAGGATAGGTAGAACATACTCATTATGTGACCTGCCATCAACTCAGGACCTGCCAGGGTATAGGCTTTGAAAGGAAACTTAATTGAGGCTGGGAACAATTACAAGTCAGGTGGAGGGGATTCCATCAGCATCCCAATAGTGTCTCACTCACCTAGAGAGATGGGATGGGAATGATATGAAAGTTGACTAAAAGGGGTAAAATTGAAGGTCTCACTCCCTGAGTTGTGCCACTTGTTTTTGGTGTTTCTTTTCTCTGATATTTATTAGAAGAGCCTTTAACAGAACTTAGAACTCCAACCTTGAGAAAGTGCTGGGGAATTTCACACACAGTTCAGCTGCTCTCCCATAGCTGTAAAACTGCCAGGAGGCTCAGGAGAGCAGAAGTGCTGCCCTTGCTAGTGGGCAACAGAACTCCTGAATGCACCCCCCTCTCACACACACACACACACACACACACAGACACACACACAGGACTTGCCTGGTTCATAACTGTCTTTAGAGACCCTCCTTTTGAAGTAGCTACAAATATTTGGAGGTGGCAGGGAGGAAGTACTCAGGAAGTTAAAGAAAATAAGAACCATGACAAAACATGTCCATGGTGAAATTACACACAGATTTTAGGAGGTAGAACTAAGCTCATACCTGAAGATATTCAGAGGACACAGAGAATAAACTGATTTCCACCCCTTTGAAGGGGCCTAGGAGCTGAGCAGTCACTTGGTGAGACTGCCAAGATATTAAAGAGACCCGAGGACCCCTCATACCACATTGCCTAGAAAGCCCTGTGGCAGGGCTTGGAGCTGTCCACCCAACGGCCATTTCCCCTTGCTTCTTCGTAACAAAGATCAAGTTTTTTTTCTTTTTCTTTTTTCTCCATTAATTTTTCATTGAGATATAATTGACGTATAACATATTAATTTCAGGAGTACAACACGTTTCGCTACTGTGAAATGATCACCACAATAGGTCTAGTTAACATCCATCACCATACGGGGTTAAAAATTTTTTTTCTGGGCTTCCCTGGTGGCGCAGTGGTTGAGAGTCTGCCTGCGGATGCAGGGGACACGGGTTCGTGTCCCAGTCCAGGAAGATCCCACATGCCGTGGAGCGGCTAGGCTAGGCCCATGAGCCATGGCCGCTGAGCCTGCGCGTTCGGAGCCTGTGCTCCGCAACGGGAGAGGCCACAATAGTGAGAGGCCCGCGTAACGTAAAAAAAAAAAAAAAAATTCTTTTGGCTAGGACTTCCAAACTATGTTGCATAAAAGTGGCAACAGTGGGAGTCCTTGTCTTGTGCCTGATCTTAGAGGGAATGCTTTCAGCTTTTCACTGTTGTGTATGATAGCTGTGGGTTTGTCATATACGGCCTTTATTAATTTGAGGTATATTCCCTCTATGCTCACTTTCTGGAGAGTTTTTCTCATAAATGAGTGATGAATTTTATCAAAAGCTTTTGCTGTATCTATTGAGATGATCATATGATCTTTTTCTTCAATTTGTTAATGTGGTGTATCACATTAAAATTTTTTTTTCTTGTGATGAGAACTTTTAAGATCTACTCTCTTAGCAACTTTGAAATGTGCAATACAGCATTAACTATAGTCACCATGATGTACATTACATCCCCATGATTTATTTATTTTATAACCGAAGTTCTTACCTTTTGACTACACTCACCCAATTTGCCCACCCCCAGCCCCTGCCTCTGGCAACCGCCAATCTGCTCTCTGTGTCTATGAGCTCGGGTTATTTTGTTTTATTTTTGTTTAGATCCCACATATAAATGAGAACATACGGTATTTGTCTTTCTCTGCCTGACTTATTTCACATAGTGCCCTCAGGGTCCATCCATGGTGTTGCAAGAGGCAAAATTTCTTTCTTTTTTATGACTGAATGATATTCTATTGTATATATATAAACCACAATTTCTTTATCCATTCATTCATGATGGACACTTAGGTTCTTTCCGTGTCATGGCTGTTGTAAATAATGCTGCAGTGAACGTGTGGGTGCATATCTTTTCGAGTTAGTATTTTTGTTTTCTTCCAGTAAATACCCAGAAGTGAAATTGTTGGATCATATGGTAGTTCTACTTTTAATTTTTTGAACAAAAATCTAGTTTTATTTGGGACAGAAACATGCCCAAATAAACGATGACATTTTTCAGCCTCTCTTACAGCTAAATGTGACTATGTATCTAAGTTCAGGGCAATGAGAAGTTAGCTGAAGTAATTGGGCTACAGTTCCTGAATAGCTCCTTTAACAAGGTGGCACATACTTCAAGTGCCCTTTCTCTTTGTTCCTTGAGGTTGCCTGGATCGTGGATATAATGGCAACCATGAGTGACCTTGAAGATGGAGGCCTTATGCTGAGAATGGTGCAGCGGGAAGAGAGAGGAGCCTGGGTTTCTAACGACAGTACCAGCCACGGACTGCTGTCTCCGGTCTTTTTCATGAGAGAGAAAAGTAAACGCATATTCACTTAAGCCATTATGTGCAACTGAAAAGAACCATTCTGATCCATCTCCCAGCCCTACCATTCCTTTTAGATATTTTCTTGAAGTTCACTAAACCACATTGTATTACCATAGAGCCACGGCCACAGCATCTTGTACCATACCACACTCTTCCCAGTACACCTCTTCCCACCTGGCCCTGACAACAGTAGCCTCTCAGAGCTCACTCACCAAATTCACAGTGTTTAATATTATTGTAGAGCAGACCCATGGGGATGTTCCAACCAGCAGTTCTGTCTACTGCAGTGTGGCAGGACTTCCTGCCTTTCAGATTGTTCCAGTTGAGATCAGCATCTGATTTCTTAACCACAGCCACAGCAAAGTACCCTGCAAGAAAGACACCTAAATAGGGAGTATTAACACCCCTGGGCCCTCCAGAGTGTCTAAACCTGCCATCTCCTTAAGGAGTAGAATTATCCCAAACTATTCCTTCTCACTTTGAAAGGGTCTTCCCAATAACTGACGGGGGGGTGGTGGTGGGGTGGATACAAGTCATTCCAGGAGGTGGAGATTAATCTGAACTTTAAAAGTAAAGTAGTAAGAATACATAACCATCAGAGCAATGGCTGGTGTATAACCCTTCCCCAAATGCATGAAGCTACTGACATAAACCAGCAACTCACCCTCCACTGTGGAATAGCAGAGGAATGGATACTGAAGGGCACATTAGGAAAGAGTAGTAAATGAGCAATAAACCACAGGGATATTCTGGCCAGATAATTTGTGATAAGAAGAATACAGGTTTGCACCACAATAAATATGCAAAGTGGAAACTGTCAAAATCAAGTTAGCTGCCATGATTAGCTGCAAATACATGCTGATCTTTAAAACTGGTAATAGAAAGAATATCAACTCATGATTTCAGTTTTCCAATTTAATTAATTCAGGAAATTGTTTCCAACAGAAAAGACACAAATCTTATTGTTCATGGAATAAGAATGGTTATATTTTCGGCTGAAGAGCTTGGTTCCTAGTGTGACGGGGAGAGGCTGAAGGTTGTAACTGGGACAAGTGATGAGGACAGACTTGCACACTAGTGGCTGGAAATGACCTGCAGGGACCTGAGTGTGGGCCCCAGAGCCCACTTTGATAAGATTTCCTGTCTTTCTCCTGCCACATCTTTCCAGATCCACCCCCAGCCAGAGCGCTGGGTGAGAGCCAGGTTGGCCTGGGTTCCTGGGCCTAGCTCTGGCTGGGAGGCTGAGCAATCACATGCCCCTAGACATCTGCCGGTATGAGCCTCTCCCTTCAGCCCTGCCAGGCACGTATCAGCAAGTCTCCTGGGCTGGTGCTAACTCTCATCTAAAACTTTGCTGGCCTCGTGCAATGCGAGGCAGTCAGGAGTGGTGGGGAGGGCCTGTATTTGCTTGCTGGATGTTGGAGTCTAGACAACTTGCAATCTCTCTAAGCTGTTGGTCCTCTTATGCATCCTTAGAGGACAACAAGACATACCTTATAGGATTAAATGAAAATTCCCATGTGCAAGTCATAGCAAGTGTACAAAAGTAATCATCATTGCCAGTTACTCTACTTCCATGATTCCTTTGCATTCCGAAAATTGGTCTCTTATCTACTTTTGATTTGAATTTAAACTTACCTTACCCTTTCCCAAAAGCAGTGGGAATTTATCTTAAACTCATGAGGTTACCAATGTCAACTCACCTTCCTCTGGTGTGGTTTTACAATGTTGGCCCTCACTTTCTGTAGAGGAGAAAACGAAGAAGTCATTAAATACTCATTTATAGATTGGAAATCGTCTTTACCATGTGCAGCTCAGAATTAAAAGAGCCAGGAAAACTGTCTACATATCACCAGTTCCCAAAAGGTCCAGGCTGTCTGGATTATGCAAGTTCACTTTAGCTCCCTGGCCTCTGGAATGTAGTCCAAATTGTAAATTTCAAGCTTCCCACTCTATCTGTCCTGTGGCCACAGTGGTCTCTGCCAACCATACTTGAATCCCTGCACCAGGGCAACAGGAGAAGTGTGAGCTTTGGAATCAAGAAGACCTGCCAGGAATCCCAACTGAGAATCTAGGTGTCCTCTGCAGAGGGGTCACTTTTAGCTAGAACTTCCCCGTGCAAAGCCTCCAACTCCCTTGTGGGAGGTATGATAGAAGATCCCATCCTTCAAGAAAACTGTTGGGGGCTAGAGATGAGGGAGCCCAGGGCCTAGGAAGTAGGAGGTGCTCAGTAAGCAAGAGCTTTATGGCCCATGTGGCATAAATCAGGCTGTTATTTTCCATTTCCTTTCTCCATGGCCCAGGGGAAATGAAACACTGAGAGAAGCCCCTTCCACTTACTGTAGTTCTCTGCCAGGACAGGTACCAGACCACATTTGCCTGCTATGTAGATGTAGCCTCCATCCAAGCTCATGGCATCAGCTTCTCCTTTCTGCAAAGACACAGCACATCACAGCAGGTGAAAAGAGACCATCTTCTGTCCCACATGCCCTCCAAGCTGTTTCCTTGAAGCAGCCTTGCCAGCACAGGTCATGAAGGCCCAGCGAGACAGAAGCTGCTGGTACTGGACCCCCAAAGGATCAGTCAGGCACACCCAACATAGAAAATAAAATGTACTCCCATTTTCACCCAAACCATGATGAACTGATGATCAACTCTGGGTGCTTTGCTTAGTTTCTTCAGAAGGAAAGACCCACATTCAGTCCCCCTGTCCTCGTAGGGCACACTGTCCCAGAGACACTCTCACAACACCTTTCTGACACCAAGAGTTCTCATTTGTAAGACAAATGAGCAGAGTCAGAGACTCAGGGCTGTGCCTGTGGCATAGAGTGCCTCCTGATGGGGGCCCCAGACCCGGATCTCGGCCACATTGGCTGGGTGCTATTTTGGTGCTTGGTCAATACAAGGTCTTTAATGAATGAGTCAAATAAACTCAAATGATCTGTTAGATATAATGATCTAATAGAGCTAATAAGCCCCAAATTTCAGAAATGCTTAAATTCAACAAGGCTGCCAAGCTTCCCATTGGGCTTAGAAATATACTTTTGAGGAATATACCCTAAAGGAATAATCAGATATGTGGGAAACTATTTGGGCAAAATGTGTAAGTGGGCAAAAGCATGCAAGTGTGATTCATAATATCAATAAGACAGGACCAAACTTAATGCTCAATAGCAAGGAAATGGCTCAACAAATTGTAGCACATCCACACTCTGGAATAGCTATCAACATTAAGCTATCAACATGTTTTCGTAGAAACAACCTAAATGTCCATCGACAGATGAATGGATAAAGAAGATGTGGTACATATATACAATGGAATACTACTCGGCCATAAAAAAGAATGAAATAATGCCATTTGCAGCAACATGGATTGACCTAGAGATTATCATACTAAGTGAAGTGAGTCAGAAAGAGAAAGACAGATACCATATGGTATCACTTATATGTGGAATCTAAAGTATGACACAAATGAATTTATCTACAGAAAAGAAGCCGACTCACAGACATAGAGAACAGACTTGTGGTTGCCAAGGTGGAGGGGGCTGGGGAAGGAATGGGTTGGGAGTTTGGGGTTAGCAGATGCAAACTGTTATACATAGAACAGATAAACAACAATGTCCCACTGTATAGCACAGGCAACTATATTCAACATCCTATAATAAACCGTAAGGGAAAATAAAAATTTAAATTTAAAAAAAAGAAAAAAGAAAAAAAAGAAATGAAAGTCCCCCATAAACTTGGTCCCCAGACATACCACTGTAAACAGAATAGTGTATATTCTTTCAAAAATAAACTAAAATATATTTTTAAAAATCATGTTTTCAAAGAATGACTTGTGACAAGGGAAAAGCTCCCTAGATAAGATTAGGTGAGAAAAGAGAGTAAATTGTACGTATGATATGAGCCCAGTTAACAGGATTTTCTCTGAGTTATAAGGTTACAATTAGTTTTTATGTATTTTCTTCATTATATCCTCCAATTTTTCAACATTATCTAGAAGGAAATATGGAATGCTTTTGTGATCAACAAGGCTAAACTTCTACCTGCTTGCACAATAACACGACCCTGTCACACTTGTCTCACTTGCCATGGCACACCGTGGGTTTCAGGCACACCCACACTCAGGTCCAGCCTCCCTAAGCAGACATGGCTCAGATTGCCCTCCACTGGGTGCTAACACTAGGAGGAAACAAGCCCTAAGGAGCCCTTCAGATCCAGAAGTCCAAAGGTCCTGAGGTTTCGGTGGGGCTGGTCTCCCACAGTGAGGGCAAGGTTCCTTGGAACCCGGCTTTTCGTGTCATTCCCAGGAACACTCACTCACCCTTGCGGACAGGTGGGCAACAGTGGCAGGGATGCTGCCCTACAGAGGCAGGAGTGACGTACCATTATCTTGGCGATGCATTCTTCAGTGCTGTCTGCTGATTCACACTCTATTTCCCCGTCACTGTTCACACTCCACATATCACACCTGACCTTCTCCAGGTGGTGCACTGCACACCACTTCACCTTCTTGCATTCACCCTTTGAGGCGATCGGGCCTAGGACATAAGGAAGAGAACCAGAGTTTAGAAGAGGCCCAGATGTTGCCTGCTGGTTATGCTACTCTTTTCATGAAAGTGCTAGGATTTCTCAGCAATACACAAACAGATCCCATTCAAGGAATTAATCTCTTAGAAATCAAAGGTAATAACAGTCTCTCAGTTGGCTTCTTATCATTTAGATTTAACTTAAAATTGTTTCTTATGAGAAGTCAACTTTCCTCCCGACCCCAAGGCACTCTATCACTTCAGGCTGGGTTTGTTTTTTTTTTTCCCCTCTTTGTTTAGAAATAGCACTTAACCATCTGAGCTGTTGTTATGTATTTATTCATTATTTATTGTCTGTTCCCTGCAGGAGAACATAAGCTTGGCCAGGGCTAGGGTCATGCCTGTCTTGTTCTCCATGGCACCCTTAGTGCCTGCCTCATGGTCAGTACAATAAATGTTGGCTGAATAAATGGACACCTACCCAACTTTCAGACCCAGCTCAAGAGGCACTTCCTCAGGGAAGCCTTAACTCAATTCTGGGACCTGTCTTTCTTTGTTTTGCACTCTTCTAGAGCCATGATATTTTGTTCTGGGTTTTTGTTTTTGTTTTCCTTCTGCTGAGGAAATCTCTCATTTTTAATTGATCATTCAATGGAGTGACTATTCCTTCAACATTTGTCTTCCCCACTGGGCTGAATGTTCCATGACAGCAGAATTTAATATATTTTTGACTCACCATTGTATGCCCAGCACGTTGCACAGTTTATAGATAAGTGGTCAATACATGTCTGTTGAATGAAGGTTCAAACACATCCCCAATGACCCAAGGAAATTCAGAAGCAGGATCGACCTGTCTAAAGCTCCAGCTTCACCATGGCACATGTTGACCATAGCATTGGCTTCAGATGTGCACGTTTGTAGCAATTTCATTCTATTTGACTTACTTCATGCCAGGCTAACTGGCTTCACAAAGTGGGTAGGGTAGCCTTGATTTATACAAGGGAAACAGTGCTGGTATCAATACAAATCATTTTAAGCATGAATTTCCTTTAATGCCCTTTGGTGATGCCATTTAGCATTCATCTAACACTGGGCTGCACAGGCAGGGCAGACAAAGCATTGTTGGGACAGGTGTTCAATACCTGGAAAGACTCTATTGCTGGTGCACACCCTCACCAGTTTTCCAAGTTCCTAGAGCCACACGATCCTTCGCAAACACTTACGTGTATCTTCTCTTAGATTCCGGAGAGCGGTGACATACTCATATCCCAGGTAGAGCCAGGAGTCCATCTTAGGAGGAATCTTTAAAAACCCATTGGCAGAGTCCTTAAACAGCAGGTCCTTCCCATGAGGGGAGCTGAAGAGCTGGAAGCTTTCAGAGGTATCTCTGCCAAAGTGTTCCTGTGTGTGGTAAAAACACGGATCTGAATGGCTACAGCAACAAGGGATGCTGCAAAATGGGACCGAAGAAAATTTTAAAACTCAGGAAACTAAATTAAAAAGTGAAAATTTCAAGATGCCAGGAGAGAGGGCAGTCGGATCTGTTCTTTCCCACCCAGCACCTTCTCCATTCACAGCCCTCTTGGGACATATAACAAACACCCAATTTCACTGAATGTGTTTCTGTGCCTGTCTCCCTGGCTGGATGACAGCTCACTGAGTGCAAGAAACACATCTCCTTCAGAGGCTGACACTGTGTGGCTGCCTTGATGGACAGATGGACAGGTGGGAGGGCCGGATAAGAGAAAGTTGGCTCAGTTCTGGCTTTCTGCTGCTCTAGGGAAGGAAAGCTGGCTGTGTGTGCAGCTCCCTTGCAGTCAGGCTGAAGAACCTTGGAAGAGAGATCATTTCCTTTCCAACGGGAGAGATATGGAATAGAGCAAGAAGGAGCAGCTTCATGTCACTGGTCCAGAACGTAAGGGTCTGACAGATGATAATGCAGGACTAGGCTCTGTGCAACTCCAAGAAGGCTTTGCTGGGTGCTTTCTTACAAGTGGATGGTGTGTGGCATGGTCCCCACTGTATCCTGAACACAGAAGGGCTTCTACAGTGGCAAGAAGGGAGTGCAGGAAAATGCCCCAAATCCAAGCAGGAACTGCTAAGCAGGAAAGAGGACAGGGATTCGATACCTGGGCCTGGTTAAGAAGCTCCCAGATCAAGTCCTCCTTGCCGCCCATGCTTCGGGCCACGACGGCATGGGAAGGGACCCGGGCGAGGTAGCACCTCTCGTACTCGTCCACAGGCCTCCGGGTGTTGTCCCTGCAGAGCAGCTCATACTCGTCCCTGTCAGCCTCGTTAGGCAGGTTCTCTGGGGGAGGGAAGCCCACGTGAGCCGACGGCAGGCAGAGCGTGAGGTGTGGTGCCCCTTCCGCTCCCTTGCAAAACCCCACTGAATCATAAACTGTGTGAGCCAAGAAGCCTAGAGTAAACACTGAGCCAGAAGAAAACTGACTTGCTCAGGATCCCACAGCCAGTTTACAGGTAAAGCTTCTGATGTCCCGTGCAGGGGTGACTGCCCACACCTCACAAGAGGTCTCATCTCAGCAGGCTGACTACAGGTCAAGGCCAGCCAGACCTCCTCCCAATCCTTTGCTATTGCAACACTGACCAGGAGGAAGGGTCCCAGTGCCTAGGAAGTTGAACGATAGGATGAAGCCCAGGAGTCCAGCCGGGGACCCCACAGACACACGCCTCTGCGCAGGTAAACGCCCCAGCAGTGAGAAAGGAGGAACACGCTATGCTCGTGTCTGACTACTGAGCATGTAGAAGAAGGCAGGAAGAAAAGGAAGGCCTTCTGCTTGAAGGGACCTGCAGATGCTTCTCCTGTCACCTACCAAATACCGTGGTGTGCTTGACAAAGGCCACTTCCCCAGCGTCCTCCATCAGACACCTGTGGGGAGGAGACACATTAGGAGGGTTCCTGCAGGGCTGGCCCTTCTCCTTAGGTTGAGGGTCTGACCACACTGTCCAGCCTTGGGGAAAGGGCAGGGCCTGGGGGAGGCCTCTACGAAGACCCACAGCTGAGGGGGCACCATGGGGCACTGATATCCAGGGTACCATGGAGATAGGGGGGTGAGCTCACAGCAGCTGGAGGACCCTCACCATGTGCCCCAAAGCATCAAAAAGGCACTGAAGATGTTTCAATGAGAAAAGTGTTTTCAAACTTCTGGTGGAGGATAAAGGCATAGTGTCTCTTGAGGGAGGAAAGGTGCCCTTGGCTGGCTCTAAAACTTTAGAGTATAACCAAGGGAGGAGAGGGAGCAAGAAATCAGCCACATGAGCTGCCTGCACAGGGACGGTGAGAGGAGCCAGGAGAGAGGCCAGTGCCTTGAGCGGTCAGCGCTGCTGCAGTGGAGAGCAGAGGGCCTGCCCCTGAAGAGCAGCATGGACACTAGGGCCGTGCCCGTCATTTCAGGCTCTGCCTAGTCCAGTGAGAGAACTCCGGGGAAACGGAAAGAGGAGCCCCAGGAGAGGGCTTCCTTGTCAATGTCACATGAAGAGAGTATGCACTGGCCCGGCCTGGCCTGGGGAGCTGTGTCACTAAGTCCCTGTGTCACTGAGGCGATTAGGCCCCCTGGTTGCCCATTTGAAGACTGGGCTCTGCTGTGGGCCAGGGGAGATTTCCAGCCAAGGACATTGGACACTTAGGAGCCCGGATGGAGCAGAAGCCGGCCTCACTCACTTGAAGGCCCCTGAGTAGCCGAAGTACGGTTCATGGTTGGAGCAGGCGCACTTGTCCGTCCCTTTCCCCGCACACAGTTGGCACAGTTTGGGGAAGGACGACTGATCCACACAGGGGACGCAGCTGCTCGCGAAGAAACTGGCCGCTGCTGCTCAACACAGAGACACAGAAGCACAGGCGTGAGCCAGCCTGGCCAGAGGCACTTACAGCTCCCAGCTTAGGCTCATGATGGGACAGAGAGACCCAGACAAAACCAGCACCCCTAGACCCACTTGCCTTTACAAGTGTTCGCTCTTCAAGATTAAGGGTTTCCAAAAAGGGGCGAGTTTAACCCCTTTCCTCCCTCCTCCCTCCCCAAGAACCAGGCTTGTGCCAGCCACTCTCCAAGACCAGGTCACCGTCAGCCCCCCTCCCTGCCTTGTCAGACTGGAACAGCTCAGAGACAGGTCTCCTCTGGGATCCATGCGTGAGAAATGGAGGACCCGCCTGGAGAGGTGCGCGCCAAGTTCATGGCCAGCAGATGGCCACCAGGGAAAGCTCCAGCAGAATGGGAAAAGCATCAGCCACAGACAGGAAAGCACCCCAGGGAAGTGGACAGTGGGGCCCAGCAACCTTGGCCCTGACTGAAGCCCTCTGTTCCCTTCCCCCGACTCCTCAGGACAACCTCTGGTGGGGTGTCAGGAGCTCAGAGATAAAAGGACTTATGACAGCCCCTAATGGCTGCTGGTGCAGCAGACCTGCCAGTTTAAAGCTGTTTAACCTCCCACCTCCACTCCCAGAGTCATCACATATCATCACCTGATCATGTCTGAGTGACGCCAGTGTGGCCCATGTGGGCATCTGAGGAAGAGATGCCCGCTGAGGGCACTCACCCTCCTGCCTGCTTACCTCTCTGAAGAGATTCATGTGGCTCAGGCAAGTCCCAGTAAAGTAAGCCCATGGGGATATTCCACCCAGCAGATCTGCCGAGGCCTGTGTGGCAGGACTTCTTGCCTTTGAGCTCTTTCAGACCGAACTCAGTGCCCTTCTTCACCACGGCCACAGCGTAATACTGAGTTTGCGGGTCTGCAAAGGGAGACCGTGGATGAAAGACTCTCAAACTGGGCCCCAGGGAAGCACTGCTCATCACTACTGGGCTCCTGAGTAGGGAAGGGGAACCCCGAGGTAACATTTATGTTGGGTTGGCTTCTAAAGAGGGAAGGATCAGAAAAACTCTCATAGGCTTACATGGGAAAGGAAGGACCACAGAGGAGACATTTGTAACAACCCTCCAGGCAAACCCAGGAGCAAGAAGCCACATGCACACATGCCCCAATGCTATTGCCTACCCAGGCCTTGCAGGGAGTATCTGCCTACAACTACCAAGCCAAGCTCCCCTGGAAACTGGAACTGTGGCAACAGAGGCCACAGTCCTGACTTTCTCTAAGTATTTCTGTCCCTCACACAGGCCCAGGGACAGTGGAGTTGCTCTCAGAAGAGATGCAAAGCTGTCAGGGCTCCAAGTTCATGCTCCTGTGTGGTCTCTCCCCTGCGTGTGGCACCTGTGGTTCTTGGAGAACTGCTCTTTACACATTTAAACTCCAGTGGTTCAGCTCAGATTGCACACAGCCTGCCCAGGAGGTCAGTGTCCTGAGCACCAGTCCTCAACCAGCCCAAAGCTCCCAGAGGCCTTGAGTCGTGGCTGTGGGGGTTGATAGGGCCCCTCATTCCCCACTCACTGCCCCCTGGGGCAGGCTTATCAGTAGCTAATCCCCATTACCTGCCTGAATGAGACAAGACTCAGCATCTACCAGGAGAGAACAAGGGCCACAAACACCTTCCTGGGTCCCCGGGGAGAACTTACTATCTTTTGGGCCGTAGAACTCTGCCACTACAGGCTTCAGGTTGTAGGGCTTCAGGCCTGCCTCAAACACCAAACCACCATCCAACGTCACAGCATCTGCTTCGTTATCCTGGAAGAGAACAGACCAGAGTCTGATGAAGCCCTTACTTCCGAGCAAGGTCTGTCTGTAGTTGGGTGGTGCTCCTTGGATCTGGGGCCAGAAGAGCACTCAGTTTGGCCAATAGCTAACTGCACAACACCACAAGCTTCAGTTAACTCTACCTCCCTGGTGAGGGGATTTGTCCACCATATTCCTTAATTCCTGCAAAGAGAAAGAATGGATCATTTTTCTGTTTTCCCTGGTGAGGAGTCCAGCTGCTGGCCCAGAAAACTATCGTGATTTTTCAAGACTGACCTAAATTACAGAGGCTTTACCAGCAGGCCTCTTGGGGGAAAGCTGCCCCCCCAACACCAGACTGGGTGCACAGCCCATGCACCACAGGCTCTGAAGGGGCTGCAGTCAAGGACTCAGGTCCCTCTGCCTGGCCATGCTGTTACACATATTTACATTTCAAGTTCAGGTCCTTTCATTTGGTGACCTCTTTATTTTGGGCCTTCTGCTGAGATCTTCCTCAGATGCCTCTGTGGAGAATTCTCTATGGGGAAGGGGAGGCTTGAAGACATCCTTCTCCACTCTGATTCAGTACTCAGTACTTTTTCTTCCTGTCCTGGGTCCATATAACTGCAGGAGTCTTTTGTTCAGGGACGGGTGCTTTCTCTGGCTTTAACTTCTAGCTTATACTCTGAACTGAGTGTTAAATGCTAATTATTACTTCCATTATGGCTGATTGTTCATTTAATCAACTACACAGACACCATTGTCGAACTCAGCTCCATTTTACACATTAAAAAATAGAGGCCCAGAAACTTTAAGTCACCTCCCCAAGCCACATAGCTAGTAAGTCATGGAGCTGGGATTCGAATCCACGTAGTGTGGGTTTATTTCTCCCATTTACTGTTACTTGCTGGGTTTTTGGTTTTCATTTTTAGTTTTTGCTTCCAATAATTCTCATCTTTAAACCAGTAGTTCACTTGGTTCACTATAACCAATATTATAGATACCTTCCCACTAGGTCTAGAATTTATTTTCTCTTGAAGTGAGAAGCACCATCTTTTATATAGGCACTTCATAACATACTTTTATTGCTTTTTTTCTTGCTTCAAATATCTTTAATCAAAATGATTTTTCTTGAAGCCCTTGCTAGTACTCCATAAATAGTTCTTACTATTTATGGATTAAATTACAAGGCAGGGACTATAGCTCTATGATCTATGTCATGTTATAGATAAATAATAAGGTAATAGTATTTCTAAATGAAATAAAATAATAACGTAAGCCAAACCATATATTTGTCTAGCTGAAACTTTTCTTTCAATAGTTGGAATTGTTTTTGTTATTTTATTGTAATTAAATAACAACATAAAATTTATCATTTAACCATTTTTAAGAGTACCTTTCAGTGCCATTAAATACATTCACAATGGTGAAGGACTTTTTATTCCACAAATAGACTCCGTATATGAAACAATCTTTATGGTTTTCTTGGTATCTCAAAAGGTAGGTGAAACCTCCAGAGACTGTCCCCACCCACCTCACACACCACAGAATAAAAATAAATGAGTAAAAAAATAAGAGCTTATCCTAGAGCAGTGAGGTTGGGGCTTTTTTGGCCCAGACACCAGGATCCTGGGCAGGAATCACTGGGGCCTCAGGGGCTCAGGAACCAAGGAGCCAAGGCCTAACTCATGGAGTCCACAAGAGCAACAGGGATTCTGAAGGGAAACTGAACCAGCAGGGAGGGGCAGGATTAAAGTCAAGCATGACTTCCCAGGTGCAGATAAACAAACCCAAAAGAAGGTAAGCCACAATGCATAGGCATCAGCAGGAACAGCAGACTTGGGCTCTCAAGGGTTGTGGATGTTGGAATGGTCAGAAACAATGGAGAAGAGCTATATATGTGCTTTATTGGAGAAGAGCTATATATGTGCTTTATGCACAAAGTGAAGGCTACAATCACAGAGATAAGCATAGAAAGGAAATTATCAGGAATAAAAAAGGAAAGCTGTTTAAACTGGTACTTCTAGAAGCAAAAAATATAATTGTTGAAATTAAAAAAAAGTGAATGAATGGGCAACAAGTTGATTAGACGTGTTTAAACTGAGAATTAGGAAACTGGAGGCTATATCTGAAGAATTCATCCCAGATGCTGCCAAAAAAGAGGTGCAGAGACTGAAACTATGAAAGAGGGATTAAAAGATATAGATGCTAGATTAAGGAAGGCCTAACGTGTTTCCTTGGAATCTTAGAATTAAAAAAAAAAAAAAAAAAGGAACTAAAGAAAAGGCAGTATTTAAAAAGATAATGGCAGCAAATTTTCCAGAACTGGTGAAAAACATGATTCCACAGATCCAACATACTTTAAGCAAGATAAGTAACAAGATTTCTACAACTGGAAATATCATAGCGAATCTATGGAACATCACCAACCAAGGACATGAAATCTCAAAGTTTTCCAGAGAGATGATTGAGGGAATAATAGGATAATATCAGACTTCTCAACTACTACAGTGGAAGTCAGGAGACAGTGGAATGGTATTTTTAAATAGTGTAAAAATATCAAACTAGAATTATACATTCAGCAAAATTACCATTCAAGAATAAGGGGGAGATTAAAGCATTTTCAGAGAAAACAAACAAGCAAGCAATGGAGAGAGTTTAACACCAAGATACTGACTCTAAAGTATCACCAAAAGAACACATTTCAAAAGGAAAACTTGTCCCAGAAGGATGGTCTGAAATATAAGAAGGGATAGTAGGGAGTTCCCTGGTGGTCTAGTGGTTGGGATTTAGTGTTTTCACTGCCGCGGCCTGGATTCGATCCCTGGTTGGGGAACTGAGATCTCGTAAGCCACGTAGCTCAGCCAAAATCTTTTTTAAAACTTAAAAAAAATAAAAAAAGAAGGAATGGTAAACAGATGAAATGGCAAAAATGTAAACAAGTCCAAATTTCTCTCTCTGCCTCTCTCTCTCTCTGTCTCCTTCCCTCTTTCTGAACTTTTGGGTGCATACACAAACTTACACATGCACACACTCACACACACACACACACACATATATAAATATATATTTATATAGTATTTTATGTATACTGCCAACAAATACATGAAGTATCTACATTCCAGGGTTAAAACAAGATAGACATAAAATATCAAATAGTAATATCTACACAGGGAAGAGCAAAGCCTGAGCTACTACATTCCAGAGTTCTTTTGCTGTTTCAGAAGGACATAATGGTCAAGATTATTTTACTATTAACATTTTGTTAAGCTAAAATTGTACAGTAAAAATTTAAGGGAAGTCATTAAAATATATAAATTGTTTAAATTTACTTTCAGTAGGGGGAAAGGTAGAATAAAGGGAAAACAATCCAAATGAACACACATGTACGAACTCCATTTTTAAAAATCAGAAATCAGAGGGAAAGCAGGACTAAGAGAAATCAAAAAGTAAATGGCAGAAATAAGTACAAATTTATCAATAATAAAAATAATAATTTGGGCTTCCCAGGTGCCTCAGTGGTTAAGAATCCACCTGCCAATGCAGGGGACACGGGTTCGAGCCCTGGTCCAGGAAGATCCCACATGCCGCGGAGCAACTAAGCCCACGCGCCACAACTGCTGAGCCTGCACTCTAGAGCCCGCGAGCCACAACTACTGAGGCCGCGTGCCACAACTACTGAAGCCCACGTGCCTAGAGCCTGTGCTCCTCAACAAGAGAAGCCACCTCAGTGAGAAGCCCATGCACCACAACGAAGGGTAGCCCCTGCTCGCCAAAACTAGAGAGAGCCTGTGCACAGCAACGAAGACCCAACGCGGCCAACAAAGAAAATAAATAAATTTATTTATTAAAAAAAATAATTTATTAACGGTCTAAATTGTCAGATTTCATTAATAAACAAAATCCAGCAATATACAATTTTCAAAAGACACACTTGAAAGATCAGCACACAGAAAGTTGAAAATAAAGGAATGGAACGAGATATAGGAAGAGGATACTAACCAAAAGAAAGTTGATGTAGTATGTATGCTAATATCAGAAAAATAGAGTTTAGTTAAGAAGTACTGCCAGAGATAGTGATTTTTTCATAATAATAAAATATCAAATTCACCAAGAATGATATGGGTTATGCTCTCATACACTGCTGGTGAAAGTGGAAATTGGAATAACCACATTGGATTTGCTTAAAAACCAAATACATTTGGCATCATCTTCAAAGTCAAATACTCACATATCCCACGGCACAGAAACTCTGCTCCTACATATATATTAAAGAGAAACTAGTAATTCTTGTGTCCCATGAGATTTGTATAAAAGTATTCCACAAACACTGATTAGAATAACAAAAAACTGGAAAAACTCCAAATGTCTCATGACCAGAAAAGAAAACATGAATTGTGGTATACTAACACAATGGACTTTTGTAGAGCTCTGAAAATGAAAGAACAATAGCTATATTCAACAACATGTGTGAAAACTTAGCATAATATTGAGGAGGGAAAAGCAAGTATGAGAAGACAACACATAGCGATGGCATGTTTATAAAATATTTTAAGAAGCAAAACTGTGCAATCATCCACACATACCTATATGTCTTAAATTAAAATAAAAGGCAAGAAAGTTTTAGGATTCTGTTTGCGCTGGATGGGGAAACACACACTAGTTGTAAGCAGGGCCAGTGGCTTACACTACCCCAAGTGGTGTTGTTCCCATAGAATCCAATGTTGCCACACAGTAGCCCTAGAAATAAGCTATTGGCAGTGATGAAGTTTTGAGAACCTCTGGTGGGTTTGTGGATAATATTATTTTATATTATTAACATATTTAAAAACAGAGAGGGGTATGCATACACCAAAGCTGAAATTATGTCATAAATCAAGAGTTATAATTAAGCCGTGATAGTAACTGAGGTTCAATAAACACACACACACAACAGACCAGTTGTTTATACCAAATCACTGATTCCTTGAGTTAATCATGCTCCATCTGGCTGAGTCTACCTCTCCCACCTCATTCCTCCTTCCAGTCTCCTGCTTGCTCTGCTCCAGTCACCCTACCTTCCCTACAGAAACTCAAACAAGCCCAGCTCTCCTCTGTCTCAGGCCCTTTGCACATGCTATGGTTCACTACCTGGCGTATTCTACCATAGCTTTTGGCAGGATTACCCATGCTCATCCCTGGGGTCTCAGGTTCATTGCTTCCTCTCAGAGAGATTGTCCCTGACACCCAGGCCAAAGCAGGTTTCCTCTGAAAGTTCTGTTTCTTTCTCTCCATTGTACATGACACAATTTGAAATTTCACATCTACTTGTTTGCATGTCTTTCTTCTCTCCTGACTAGACTGTAAACGCCTCAAAAGTAAGGAGCATGTGTGTTTAAATTCACTACTGCAGCCCCATTGCCCAGCACAGGGTCTGACACACGTTCAAATGTGCAGGAACAACGTTAAAGGAGTGAAGAGTATTTTGGAAAACCTAGAAGACAAAAGGATCAGCTATCAACAGCAATCATGACTATGTATTCCTCTTCCCTGTGTGTACCATTCATCTACTTCTTGTGATGCATCAGGAACCTCCAAAATAGTGTTACATGGCCATTCTGATAGCATGTATTCTTGTTTTCTTCTCTGAGTTCAGAGAATTTGGTGGCTCAAAAGAGTCCCCTTTCAGAACATGTTAGATTTTGCTTTAAGACTCATTAAAGGTGACTGCTCGTCTTTCCATTTCTAAAGTGATTTTACTAGCACTAGGGGCTGACTGCCCCACACAGCAGCCTCCTACCTGTGAGCACAGAATGATTCCAAAACAACAGGAGAAAGAGAAAGTATGGATTTTCTTCTTCTCTCCTTTAGGCAGCCACGACTTACCATGATGGCCTTGATGCAATCGATGTAGGAGGTCTTCTTCACACAGGAGACAAAAGGACCAGTATCAGTGAGGACTTTATTCATATTTTCACGGAAACTGGAGCACTTATTGGCCTCATGACTTGAAACGGTGCACCACCTCACAGTTTTCTCTGAGACAGCCAGACACAGCCCTAGGGGAGAGAGGTCAGAGGTCCCTGTGCCAGTGGGAGAGACAGCAGCACCCTCTGGAGGGTCGTGAAGTCTACTTCCCCTCCATCATGTCCACTCCCACTCCTGTTCGTGAACAACAAGAGACAGAGTTTCCACTGCATTCTGAGTCTGGGGACGAGTGACAGGCACCCTAATGTCCTCTTAGCTTCCCACTGACCAGACTGTGCTGGCCAGAGGGATGCCGACTTGACTATCAGCTCTCAATTGGAGACAATAAGCTGCTCCTCTGTGTTCTCTGAGCCTCCTTCATTCACCTCATGACCCGTGGCCTGCCATGGAATACAAATTTCAGGATACACAGGGGATTTTCAGCTACGTCAAGGTGTTGGCTCAATGCTACAACTCTGGGAAGCCAGCAGGGAAGGAATTACATCATCCAGTAATTACTGTCTTTTAGAGATGAGGGAACTGGGCTCAGAGAGTGATGCTTTACCCTAGGTTACCCAGCCTGTTAGTAGCTGCGACTGCCCTAGAAATCAGGTCTCCAGACTTTGGTCTCTGCCCAGGGAACAAAAGAAGATAACATTCTGAGTTGTCTTCCATGTGCTTGGCCAGTACATAGGGGTACATGATTGATGAGGCAATAAATTTGCCTGTGATGCTTATCTGTCATCCTCTGTTCCAAGAATAACTAGAAACTCCACATATTCAATGTTTCTCTCTGTTTCCAATGACCCCTCCCTCAATTTTACCATTAGGCTTTCTGGCTGACACTATGAGAAGCTAAAGCCAGCCATGTCTGTAGCAATTAATCCATGGGGTTGCAGATGTGTTGTCCCCATGATATGAGCATTTGGCACTGTCCACAAAGCCCTCTGTCATCTCCACTCTGTGGATCAACAGCACAGGGCTGGCTCAAGGAAGTGGATGAATATTCACAATGCACAAAGCAAGAGAGGGGGACAGAACAGTTCTCCAGGATGGAAAAAGAGGGTCCACAGGAAGCCTGTCCCCCAACCACCCTTTATCTCACCTCTGCCCATGGGATATCAAAGGAGGCAACAAGGAGTCAGCGGCAGACTCTCCCAAAAACCACTCCTCCAGGCCCTCCCCAAACTGCCCCTCCTGAGATCCCAAAGGCAGGAATTTGTCCTCAGTCATGCATTTACCTTCCACAGCCCTGTGAGATTCTCTGAGGTTAGGATTGGGGGCTGGGCGGGTAGGCAAAGACAAGTAAGGTGGGTCGACTCTCAAGGGTTAACTTTTTCAGGAAAGACAAGTAACTAAACACAGAAGGCTCCAAAGGTATGTAAATGCACCACGACTGGCCAGCAAAAGTTAGAGGACAAAGGGGGCCTAACAGTGACAGGCTCCGAAGCACAGATGTGTGCAGCAAAGTCCCCTGCACTAGTGCCTGGATCCACAGCCTCATTTACTCTCACGGGACCTTTCCAGGTCAGGCTGTACTACCCCCCTCACCGCTGGAGACGCAAAAAGTTTGGCTTCAAATCCCATGCTCCAAACCCTTCAACTGCCCTGCCTCATTAGTGGGGCATGGTCAGCACCAAGGGCACCCATGGGACATCAGACTATCAGTGGAGGTGGGACCAGATCTGGGGAGGCTTTGAATGCCGTCCTAAGCAGTTTGGACTTGATTGAGACCGCAGCAAAGGGATTTGATAAACCGTGATGGAAGTGCTCTAATTTATTGTGTTCCGCTACTGAAAGGTTTTCTGGACACGAGGAGGAAGCAAGGAGGGGGTGAAAATGTGGCAGAGGCACAGGCAGGACCAGAAGGTGCGCGCAAGCGCAGAGCTGTCCCTGAGGCAGTGATGAAGCAGATGCAAGGGTGCAGCGGGGAGAAGCGAAGGAAAAGTCCGGGCTTCCAGCTCCAGCGCGGAGCCCAGGGATGGTGTGGCGGGCTTCGGTATTCAGGGGGCACCCGGGCCGGCGACTCTGCGGGCCTTCCCAGCGACCGCACTCACCCAGGACCGCGCAGGCTAGCAGAGCGCGGACGGCGAGCCTCATCCTCCCGGGTCTGCGAAGCGGAGTGCTGAGCACAGACGCACCGGCTTTTGGGCCACCTCCCCGCGCCCCGCGCCCCTTTATCCCCCGCGGGGCTGGCCAAGCACAATCTTTGACCCCCTTTGTTTGTGCAGCCCGCTTGCCCAATCGCCCCTCAGCCCTCCCCCTTCATTCCTCGCTCAGGCTGATAACCTCATTTCCTGACCTCTGGGACAGATCCGTGGGTGGAATCCAACACAAAAATGCTGACTGGAAGGGAATTAAAGAAAAATCACCCCGTTGTTAACGCGCGCTTGCTCTGTGCCAGGAGCAGAGTTGCAGCGGAAAGAGGCGGGGGTGGCTCTGCTTCTGAATCCCAAGGTGCCACAGCTGGTCCTGAACCAACCTATGTGCTCATTCTACAGATGGAAGAAGGAAGGGACTGGCCCAAACGCACACCAGAACAGGAGAATGACAGGCAGAGACCTTCCTGGGAGAGGGTGTGAGAGAAGAATAAGGCTGACCACAAGTCAAAGACAACAGGCTCAACCTCTTTCACTTGTTCCAAGGTGTATCCAGAAATCCCACTCCTTCTTGGGCCTTAAAGGCCCATGGAGGAGCTGTCCCTCCCCATGTGTCCTCCTGAGCACAGGATCCTGGACTGGTAAACTTCCTTCCCTTCATGCAGCCTGCTGGACACCTAGGCTAGGGACAGAGTCACAGGAGAGACAATGTCTCTCCTACAAGAAGCTGCCCTGGAATGTGATCAAGACTCTGTGACACTCAGGACAAGTGACACATGAACACAAAGAAAGGGACCCAGGAGAGGATGTGGCCTGATCTCATTGCCCTGGGTCATCCCTGGCTCTCTCCAGAAAAGTGGTCTCCAAACCATTTTGATTGCCCATCCTTATCTGGAAAAATAGTGAGGATGTTCATTGTATATATATATATATATATATATAAACACTTTATATATATATAAACACTTTATATATATATAAACACTTTTAAAACTAATATTGTGTATATTTCAATCATGAAAGGAATAGAAAATTTGTAAACAATGAGACAAAGATGAAACACTCATTTTTAAATGTCTCTCTATATACTCTGCCTTATACACAATGAAAAATATCTCAAGGCAAAATATACACTTAGGGAAGGGGCAAAGTTCCTGATAGTAGATGTAAGTCCATATTCCAGAGAGTCAAGATAATTTTAGGTTTTCTTAAGTTACTTGTCCAACCCAATCAGATTAGCATTGTTTTTGGTTTTATTTACACTAATTTACACCAGACTTAGAAGATATCTCAATAGTGCCATTTTATTTTAGTTCACCTGTGTTTGTGATATTGGAATCATCTTCTAGGTCTAGTTTCTTTGCAGGAATCTTTCTAAGGCACTCATGCATTTTGTGAGATCTGATGAGTTAAATCATGTTACTTAATCTGTACATCCATTTTACTGGGCATATGCAAACCACAAAATGTGGAACCACAAAAGCCAAAAGTAAAGGACAGTTCAGGGAGTCACAGCCTTCCAGCATCCCCTTCCCCACCCCACCCCTTGTGAGGCTTTCCCCATCTTCCCTCAGGAACCTCAAAGGCCCTCCATGACATGCGTCTGCCTGCCTTGCAGACCAGGTGGGAGGCAGTGCCAATCCTCATATGAAACAAGAGTGAGTGTTAACTTATTCATCTTTTGCATGAGGAGTAAATATAATCGGAAGCTAGCATAAACTCCCCACGCCCCAATAGATTGTCTCATGTACAGGGGCTACACACGCCCCATTTCAGAGAGCGCTACTTTAGCAGGGACTTTCTGTTTACAGGGGGGACATAAGACAAGCCCGGCCCTCCAAATCCCTGCCTCACCGTGAAGAAGAGTGGCGGCTGCTGCGCTTGTGTCCCTGCCCTTGTGGACCCTCCGGCTCAAGCCATGGGAAACCCAGAATCTTGGCAGAAGGGGCGAATTCCTGCTGCCCACTGCGGCAGGCATTAGGGGGTGGCCTGCCCTCATGGGGCACCTTGAGGTACAGAGAGAAGAATGGAGGGGGAAAGTCAGGGGCAGGGCTGGCTGGGAGAGACTCCACAGAGCAGGATGCCCACACTCAGCTCATGCCTTCTACAGGTCCTGCAGTGAGCTTGCAGAGTCTGCCCAGAAGCAGGAAGGAGAGTTGTCGAATGTTGAGCTAATCCACGAACACATGGGAGCTTGGTGGAGGGCATGCGAGGCAGATGGACCTTGATCCTACCCCCTGGGCCCCTTCTGCACTCACACAGTGAGCCTTTCCTGAGGCAGCTCCTCTGGGGACAGGCCTACAGCCTGGCCTGAGCCCTCAGAGAGAGCACTCTGGCCAGGCTGAGCCCTCTCTGGGCCAGCCAAGCCTATGCCTTGCCTCAGTGGAGCCCTCTGAGTCTGAGCCTAAGACACGAGGGGAGGAAGTACAGAGCCCACGGGATCTGAAGAAGGGCCAGACGAGACATGGAGAACAGGATCCTGCACCATCTACTCACAAGAGGCTTGGTTCTTGCTCAGGAGGACAGGATAGAGGCCTGTGTCTGCCACTCCTAGGAGGCAGGGGTGAGGCCAGCTGTGGGTATACATGAGTGCATGACCCTGGTTGTATGGCTGTGCCCACATCTATAATGTGTATGGGGGTGTGTGGTGGTGACAGGTGAAAGTGTCAGTGTTCTGTGTCCTTGGTGGCCCATGACACTTGTCCCTGTGCTCTCCCTTATGGTGTTTAATTCTTTACTAGAAACACTCTGGAGTCAGGAAGCTCATTGTCCCTCTTTTACAGCTTAATGATGGCTAATACTTGCTGAGAGATTCACTGGGCCCTCACCACAGCCCTCTGAGATCGGTGCATTAGAATCCTCATTTTACAGATGAGATGAGGACACTGAGGCCCTGAGGGGTTATTAACTTGTCCAAGGTCAGCTGGCGAGCCAGGTGCAAAATCGGGCTGTCTGGTTCCAGAGCGTATGTACCCATCCACCAGGGACACTGCCTCTCCCATGAAACAGGGACACACACACAGGCCAAGAGGCTTGTCTGGGGTCACACTGAGAGAGAAACAGACCAGAGGCCTCCAGGACTGCCATTTCTCCACAGACACACAGCCCCCATTTTCTGCTGCAGAGGGGCTTGTCTCTGGGAGAGGTGTGGGTGCCCCAGCTGCAGCACCTCAGGCATGCACTGGCTTATCATGCTCAGATGGAAGGAAAGGATCATGTTTTCAGCTGTTCCACATGCCAGGCACTGTTCTGGGGCAAGACCTTGTGATCTTGACTAACTGCCTAAGGAGGTAAGATCAGTGCCCCATTTTTTAGATGTGAACATTACAGTAAAATGACAGGTCCTCATTCACAGAGCTCTGGAACCTGAACTCAAATCTCCTAAGTCCCAGCCTTCTCTAGACCACAGCTGCCTTCTTGATATTGATCTTTTCTCCTTTTTTTTTTTTTTAAATATTGATCTTGTCTCCTTTTCTCATATTGATCTTGTCTCCTTCTTTTTTCTATATTGATCTTCTCTTTATTTGTCCAGAGAGGAAGGGAGAAAGGGAGGAAGGGAGGGAGGAGACAGAGAGAGAAGAGAACTTCCAGTTACAGATGAATCTAAGTCATAATCCAAATCTTCCACCATAAGCTGAATAAAACTCTTAAATTTCAACAGGATTGGCCCTCTTGTTGAAAGAGGTGGACTTGTGTGTACATGCAGGGAGGTTGGGTAGCTGACCTAAAGGAGATGGCATGAAGGCATTGGTCCTCTGAACCAATATTTGTTTCTAAATGTTGCCTCATTTACAAAGAAGCAGGGCAAACAAAGGGCCTCTGTCTGCTTGAACCCGTCCCTCCTCCCCCTCTCCCTCACTGCTCTCTGCCCAACACCAAGGCTTGTCCTCTGAAAGGCCTGCCTGTGGTCATTGGGAAGGTGGGATCAGGCAGCCGGAGAACTATACTCGTAGACTCCTTATCCTGCAGACCTGCCAGCTCAGGGATGTGTGGCGTGATAGTTGGTAACAAAGAGCAGAGTCTTTTTAGGAAAATGCCAGGTAATTTGTAATGTCATACACCACCACCTCTGTCTCTCTCTTAGTTCTACCCCACAGAAGTCCCTGAACAATCGATGGCTTCTGGGTTTCTATTCTTTCCCCAGGGGAGCCCATAAAAATATCCTTTCCATGAAGAATAGCCCAGGACCAGATAGCTTCACGGATGAATTCTACCAAACATTAAAGAAGAATTCTTCTTACACACACTCTTCCTGGTAATAGAAAAAGAAGGAATACTCCTTGACTAAATTTTTAAGGCAAGTACAGCAAAACCCAAAAACTGTCAAGGATATTATGAGAAAGATAAAAAAAATTCTTTTTATGAACATAGATGCAAAAATCCTAAGCAAAATATTAGCAAATTGAATCCAGCAACATCTAAGAGGGATACTAAATCATTACCAAATTGAGATTATTCCAGGAATGCAAGTTATCTTTAAAAAAAAAATCAGTGTAATTGATCACATTAACAGAATAAAGGAGAAAAGTTATATGACCATCAGTGGGTAGAGGAACAGCATTTGGTAAAATCCAACAACCATTCATTTTAAAACACTCTTAGCAAACTTATTCTAGGAAATTTGCTTAATCTGATAAAGAGTATGTACATGTGTGTGTGAAATATACATAAAAGAAATATATATGTAAATATACATAAGAAATGTATATGTGAAACCATCATATTCAGTGGTGAAATGGTGAATGAAAGTTTTCCCTTTGAGATCAAGGAAAAGATCAGAAGGTCTACCATTATGATTTCTATTCAACATTTTTACTTGCAGCCCTACCTGCCAGTCTGCTCAGGTATGAAAAATATATAATAATATAAAAGGATTGAAAAAGCAAAAATAAAACTCTTATTTTCACTAATGATATGATTGAAAATGTATAAAATTCTAAAAAACTAGATTATTAGAAAAATAAATGTTAGCTAGGCTTCCGGGAAGATGGCGGAAGAGTAAGACGCGGAAATCATCTTCCTCCCCACAGATACACCAGATACACGTGGAACAACTCCTACAGAACACCTACTGAAC